CTAAGTATGCTTATGGTATTTTCTTCTTATAACGTTGTTTTGGTTCGGTGCGAAAAAAATCAAAATCATTGTGTAAAGAGAGAATAATAGAAGAATGAGAATGATCTATGAAAACGTGTACCACGTCACATGGGAGGGCAATGAACACGAAGCCAAATAATACAAGTAAATGAATATTATAAATGGTATGGATATTGGTAGGCCAAATTGAATTAATAAATTGAAAAAGAATAGCAGAAGAAAGAAACAAAAGGGAAAAGTAACGGGACATGAATGGAGTTATTCATAGAAAAAGGATCTATTGTTGATACCCAACTCTTTTGGAATGTATGCACATTGCGCACTTGTGAATGTATTCGCGTGACTCTATTGTCGACCCATCTATCCACATTTTTAAGTTTATTTTTCTGAAATATATTATAAAAATTTATTTATAAGAAATGAGTAGTTTTTCAGAGTTTTCTAAGCTGCGAGTTAAACCATAGTTAAATTCTTGTTAATTAAATAAATATTAGCTCAAGGATACAAAAATGTTCATGTATGTAATGAAAAAAAATGCATATAACAACCCATGTTTCAGACATGACACATGAATCTCTTGGCTTCCTCCACTAGACAAGTCATCGACTTTTTTAGGAATCTATAGTATTCGCATTTAATAATATATAGAGAAATAAGGAGATCATCTTGTATAGTATAATCAATAAAGATATTTTATAATGGTCACAAATTACCAAAAGGGATGTATATCTATTCAAAACTCTAAACTTAGGGTAAACATGGCGATTTAGGAATGCACATAAATATTACACACATAAAGAGCCTGAAATTTTTTGCGTTGAGAAAAAGAGAAGTAGAAAATGAAACTTCTTCATGTTGTTTTACCTAGTCTGGACCCAATAAATATTTGTTGAACGATGCAACACTAAAATACGACGTAGAAACCACCCTATAAACCTACAACATTGAACTGGTAAGCTATAACAGATAGTCAAATTTCAGCTTAAAAAAGAAAAAAAAAATTCAAACTAACAAAGAGTAGCTTAGAATCTAATTAGCAGTATAGATATAAATCTCGTTTTACAAAATTATGCATTCAACATAATAATAGCAATTATTAAACTCAATCTTCTTAAATATATATGAAAAAAACATAAAGGAAGAAGGCTAATTTTGATGGGGTGCCATTTTGAATGATTCAATACTTTATATGCATAAGTGCAACCACAAAATTTGTCAACGACAATTTACCTCATAGTTTTAGTTTTTCTAAAAACTCCAGTAGATCATATATTTTTGTATTGCCAATGATTTTTTGGTCTTTTTCTAGCAAAAGATGATGTACTATTGATAAGATAATCAACATGTTGAATTCAAATTAGCAGGAAAATGAGAAGGTGGGACAAAGGCGGCAAATGTCAAATGAGACACTGCTGATTAGCAAATATTCAAATAAGGGTGAAAAAGGAAGAGGCCAATGTCCATTTCCTTGCAAGTTGCAACCATACAATCTGACCGGTGTGACACAATCGTCCAATAGTAAAAAATAAGGGTCCCTAAAAATAATAATGCGACTTGAGAAAGTGACGACTGACAAGATCGGTCCTGCGATTTTATTATTTCAACCTTCTTTCAACCCCTATTCGGAACCAACTTTATAGTACATCAAACAACTTATACGGATTTGTCTTTGATATGTTTTTTTGGTTTTTTTCGTTAACGTGATGTGTTGATGCAATTTTGGTTTTTGTTTGTTAGCATCACGTTCTTATCTTCATGAAAATATACGTAACTGTGACTGAAAAGAGCTGTACCAGTTTTCTATACGTCTACAGTTTTAATAAAATTTTAAAGATTATAGGTGGATTTCATCCAAAATGTGAAGTCCTAACAATTTTTTTCTTCTGTTGTGCCAAAGAAAATTATACTTCAGAATTTAGATACTTTTTATTTTCTTCATATCTACTAGATATAGACTGTACATATACAACCTACATCTTCAAACCAATCTACCCACACTCATATCAAATAAGCACTAACTCAAACGATTTTAGTAAAACGTGGTATAAATTAAGACTAACCAAGTAACTTTTGGTCTAATGGCTTCCTTGGAAGAAGAAGTCTTTAGTTCGAATCCACTTGGGAAGAGTGAAATTTCCAAAGAGAGTAGCCTAACGACTGTTTTCGGCTCCGTGTAGATTAGAGTCCGGACCCGAGCTTTGTGGAATATCAAAAGGAAAAAACTAAGAATACAAAGTAGATCAACACATTTGGATTTTTAATGGAAAAACTGAAAATTACATTGCTTGAACTGTATCATTTTAACTACGACACATGACATATAATCTAATGCTTTATATTAGTGTTGCCGATGTGTCACCATTCAAACTCGTAAGAATGCATGTTATTGACGAATAATAAAAAGCTTTGTCATCCGAGTTATCCACAAAAGCCACAAGAACACAATATATGAACTCATGAGATGAAAATAGAAAAGCATATAACCTTAATATAAATAAAAATATAAAAAGTGTACACCAACTCAACATAAATATTTCCAATAAATAAGTAGCATAACTTTACATGTGTACTATATATACATAAAAAATCATTCCATGAATTGAAATCTATCCTATTCTTGTAACTTACAACCGTTAAGATGCAAGCGTATAAACAATATAATCATGATAGCACTTGACAATAAGAAAGAAGGAATAACAAGTCGTATGCCATTCGTTTGGTGGGTAACTTCTGCACGTCAATGTGAATTAAGTGGTTTATATAATAACGTGGCACCTCAAGAAAGAACTTTAAACCCACCAATGGTTAAAACTTGGCTCTTGTCTTATTAGGTTTTTTGAATGATCTCCTCCTAATTTTTCAAAGTAAAAAGGTCGGTGCACGATGCAAGGCTTGTAATGTTCTCTTTGAATTTATGGTGAGATTCGATACAATGTTAGTGTCAAGATCCTCTTTTTTTCTTTTAGACTCTTGCTTGGATGATAATTAAGGTGAATCTTTATGATATAGTGCCTATCCATTTCTTCATCATTGTCATGAGATCTAACACCCATACTTATTATACTTTAGGGACCTCCTAAAAGACACATTGAGCTTTTGATCGCGTGTTGCTTTGTTATCATCTTTGCCCACTTTAGGGACCTCCAAGTGTCAGAATTTTTCTTTTCCATATCGTTCTTCTAAATTATAATTTTTGAATAGTTAGAGGTTTTGACCCCAATAATAATATATAAAAAATTTAGTTAGAGATAGGGCCATGCCATCCAATTCAAATTTTAGTTCAATTTTCGATTAAGCTTTTTTAGTTTTGAAAATTTAAGAATGGAAATAAAAGTTGAATGTACTTTTGGTTTTGGATAAGTTTAACACGGAATGGAGTTTTTGTTGCATCAGTATTTTCCAAATGGTTGTCAATTCATTTATTTTTGAGCTGACTTAGAGACATCACTATGTAATAAAGTAATTGTTCTATTCAAGATTGTTAGCTCAAAACCTATGTGGTCTAAAATGCTCTGCATACGTGCATTGTCTTTCTACAAACTGACTTTACCATCGATTTAGACATCAATTGTCTGTTGAGTGTTGACGACATTTAGGTTTATATTTGTATTTAATGTCTACTTTTTGAAACGAACCCACAACCAGTCAACCACAACTTTGAGTATTCGAAGTATATTTTTTTGTTTGTAAACCCAAACGCAAACTCATGATAATTTTATTTACGGATTGAGCAAAGTATTTTTTTAATACTTAGATCAATTTTGAGGTATTGAGAGCTTATTTTGGATAACGGTTCACTTGTGGCAACAATAATGGCAAGTTCGTGTTTGGGAGCTTCAATTAGCGATCGAACTCGCTTAGTTGTGTCTTTTTCCGCGAATGCGTGCTCCTACTGTTGATTTCATTTTCTCTTGTAGTTTTTTTTCATAATGGGATTGTTTTCAGTTTTTTTTTTTTATCTATTTGTAGTGTCCTTCTTTCTGTAAAAAATCTAAAAAATGGTATCAAATTTGATCTTTAAAAAGTAATTTTTATGATTTAACGTGATATTTAGTAAAATAACATTTTATCAAACAATTTGGCAACATTATTGAACAAGAACATGTTTGTTAAAAACACTTAATGGGCCTGGGCCACGTAAAGTCCAAGTAACCTTAAAAACCTAAAAATCCGAAACACCTCTTCTGCTTAAACCCTACACCCTAGAATATTCTTTTACCAGCTAAATCTAGCGAAACTCGAGCAGAGCAACATTTTCGTAATCCGATCTCCGTCGTCGAAGCAGAGAGAAATGGCAAAGCGTTTGATCCCAACTCTCAACCGTGTATTGGTGGAGAAGATTCTTCCACCGTCAAAGACTGTCTCCGGCATTCTCTTACCGGAGAAATCATCTCAGGTAAACGAATTTCTTGAAAAGTTCTCATCTTTACCCGTTTCTTCGATTGGACGAACTATAAATCTGTTGGATTTGATCGAACGCAGTTGAATTCCGGGAAAGTGATAGCAGTTGGTCCTGGAGCTAGAGACAGAGCTGGGAATCTAATTCCGGTTTCGGTTAAGGAAGGAGACAATGTTCTTTTGCCTGAATTTGGTGGTACTCAAGTTAAGCTTGGAGAGAAAGAGTATGTTCTTAACCTGTTCGATGTAATTCCTCTGAGAAAAATAAGTTTCAGTGACTTATTTCACTGTGTGTTTCGTTTCTCTTTGCAGGTTCCTTTTGTATAGGGATGAAGATATCATGGCTACACTTCACGATTGAAGAAATAGAATTGGTTATTGCTCTCTGTTTTGTTGTCTGCAATTGTCTTTTGGTTTCGACTTTTGGATCAATTGTTATGATTGTTCTTCATTGTTGGCAACAAGCTCTTATAATTCAATAAGCTCTTTTGTTTGGGAATGAAATGATGATATACGTCTTACATAGATATTACTGACTATAAGTCTAGAAATGCTTCTTAGTTGTGTCGACTGATTAGGAGAAACAGAGAAACCATTTGTTTCAATGTTTTAAGAATAGAGAAGTTTTGTAGGAATTTCGGAAATCTTGATCTACTCAAGAAGCTTATTGCATGTTCCAACTCCAATGGCTGCAGCGAGGTGCCAGCCGGCGTGAATGAATGGTGTCTCGGGGAAGAAATCATCAGCTATGAACAAGGCACCTCCTAGCAATGAAGACATCTTGTGTACGTTATGAGCTGTTTTGAGATCTGGATCCTTTAAGCTTCTTTTAGCAAATGCGACTTCCATCATTCCAGTGTGAACGGCAGAGACCATGAGAGGCTGGAAAGGTAGAACTAAAGCTGATGCAGCCATCAAAAACTTTGGGTTCTCATTCCTTAGAGCCCTTGAGAGACACTGTCCACACAACCAGATTTAATCGGTTAAATTTTCTGAAGAAGAGTTTGGAGATGGGTTAAGAAGAGTGGAACTTACTATTGTTGTTGTGGCTATCATTGTGTAATCTACCCATCTCAGATACTTCCTCAACTTTCCCCTAGAGGCATGATACAGACTCGACGCAATTCCAACTCCAATTAAGGAGTTTGCGTACACCTTTGTGTTCAGATTCTTCCTACATTGCCATAGTATCTTCATCTTGTCAGAGAAACTCTCTACCTGAAATGATTTTTGCAAAGAGAGAACATTTACCTCGGTGCCTGCATTCCAAGGAATATGAAAGGAAGTGAAGTAGCCACATTAGCAGCTGTTTCTAAGACACTCTGGTCACCTGTCATATGTTTCGATTGCATAAGTATAGACATCTTGAGATTGGAAAGATAATAGACTAAAAACAAGACCGAAAGATTCATACCGCGAATGCTGCAACAGATTGGCCGTAGGCATGGGGGTCTCTGTTGCCAAAAACGTCTGTAAAGAGAAACCAAGTCAGAAACTGAAACCGTTTCGAAAGCTGAGAATGTCACAACCTAATGTTTGTTAAGTAACATACTCGATGAACAGTCTCTGATTTGATTCCATGACAGAGGATTTGGTGTTGGTCTGAAAGTCACCGATTTGAGTTGTCTTCTCAAATGAGAAGGGGGAATGAGACGTGACATGAACCCCATGGATACCCTCAAGGGCATTGCTTGACTTTGATACATTTTGCAGGCTCATGGAATCTTCCTAAAACCACACAGAACTAAAATCTCTGTATACGACACCAGAACAATCCAACTAGTTTGCTGTCTCGCTTGTTCTGTTCTGTTCTGATGACAAAACAAAAATATTCATAAATTAAACTATAATTATTTGTCATACATGTGTTCGCCAGAGAGAAATTGAATACAAAGTCAACACCTAAGATTTGATTGCTCAATTCTCAATGACCATAATTGTAACGTTTTGTTTAAGGCAAAGCTAAGCAGAAGAAAAAACACACATAGCTATATTACAGAAAACGATTGCATAGAAACATGCCTATATAGAGAGAGAGATCGAACCTGAAGAAATGGCCGTAGAAACTCGAAAAGAATTGTTGGAGAAGAAATGCTATAAAGAGAGAGAGAGAAGGAACGAGTTAAACTAAGCAGAGAGAATCAGAGTTAGAGAGATGCGAATGACTCACGGAATCTTCTTCCTTAACTCTCTCTACTAGTACTCCAACGGCATATTCTCTTCATCAATATTCTTACTGCAGTCACCCGGGTCGGTTTTCCTCGGTTTATATACCGGTTTGATCCGAACCAAGAACGTATCTCAGAGTCATTGTCATGCATGGTTTATAGGTGTGGGCCAAATATGGGCTAGGCCCAACGTATACTTTTTTTTGGTAGGTACATATCTTTACATTTTAGTTATTGGAATGGTAGTCATTTTGTTCAATGACAAGATTTGATAGAAAATTGGGTAAATTGCAGGCCAGGGCATAAGACCATCTTTTAATTTCATGGTTTGGCAAAGTGAGAATTGGTTTTCAAGTTTTGACAATTTAGCCAAAATCTGACCATTTTACCCCTGCCAGCGTAACGATGTACTGTTCACTGTACGGTTCAGTTATGCGGTTCAGTTACGTACACTGTTCCGGTTCAGTTATGCGGTTCAGTTATGCGATGTACTGTTCACTGTACGGTTCAGTTATGCGGTTCCGTTACGTACACTGTACACTGTTCACTGTATGGTAATTGTGTGCAATTTAGTATTGGAAGATCTATTTTACCTAAATCAGAGTACGATTGTTGAATTAACCAATGTTGCAATTTAAGAATTTGTAAATATTACACGTACGTTGCCTCAACAATGCTACATACTCTGAAAGACGTACACGTCCATATACTCAAAGGCATCATTCTAATTTTGTATTCATCTTTAACTTGGTTTCTTCTTCGGCAACTTTAATTTTGTGGCCATTGTTCACAATTTTCTTATAATCTTTTGTTTTTTACATTTAATTTATTTATTGATTTTGTAAATCTAGTTTATATTAGCGTATTTTGAAGTCAAAAAACTAAAATACAAACTCTATAAATATTACGTACACCGTCTCCACAATAGTACATGATATAACTGAAGTACATATCCATTTTATAATCAATACTGTGTATACCGTAAAATACATACACGTAAATAGAAAAAACTCAAATAAGGACATATTTCTACCAAAAATATCTTACCAATTTCATACAAGTTTTCTATGAACTCAATTAAAAAAATATTAATAATTTGTTTTCAGTAAATAATTGAAATCAACTATGATCAACACACAAATTGACTCTAATGAGACTCACAAAACTCCAGCTCTGTTACGCAATTTACATAATCATATGTCAAATACGAGAAGCAGTAGAAACAAACCTCACAACTAAAGAAAAACATTGAGGAATAGTATGTTTTAACGTGACACAGAGCCGTGTGTGGTTTGAAAATCTTAAACACTTGTCAGTAGATGATTCGCTTTTCCATTTTATAAATATTTATTGTTTTTATATTTTTAGTTAAAATTCTTTTTTTTCTATCAGACCCATTTTCATATTTTTTATTTCTATTTTAAATAATATTTTATTTATTATCATCGAAGACTATTCACGATTAGCAATATCATATACACATATGTGCGTAACGGTAATAATATATACGTACACGGTAATAATATATACGTAATGCTGCTCCGGTATTCGATGATTTACCCAGTTTTTGAGCCGATGAGACACAAGTTGAACTGAGTACGACAAGTGTTACTTTGTATGTGGGGAGTGTTTTTATGAACATGCAAGTCATAAAACAAACAATGGCTTATCTTGCAATCAAAGTTTGCTTTTGCTACAAGGTAGTGGCAAAGATTACATTACAATAAGTTGACTCATCTTATTGTTGAAAAATATGGGATAGGACATGTCGGAAATGCTGGTGACACTCAGTTGATTATTAGAAATGTGTACGTATGCTAATTAACATGTACGTAATTGAAAAAGCATCGATCATTTTGGAGAGAATGGTGATATTCAACCATTTGTAGTCATAATCAGGAGGTAAAACATAATTTTTAGAAGAATGTACGTACATTACTAATTATGTACACAAGGAAGTATCTGACGATGAATGTTTGATATACACAAATGCAAATTGGCATGGTACATGTCGCCAATAATAGTTTATTATTGTATCAATACATTTATCTTAACAAATTTAACTCACCAACAAAGATGTACGTACATTACTATACGTATACGTACATAATATTTTCAGAAATATGAGGAACAAATATTCTTTGACCATATATTTTTACTTAATTATTATATATGCATGAATTTTATTGAGATAGACGAAAGTAACAAAATAGCTTAATTTTGGAGTCAAAAGAGGGTGGTTAGATATATAATTATTACAACCACTTTAATATTGTATCATATACGTTCCACTAAATATGTTCGTGTACGTACACCGTAAATTATATATACGTACACAGAAGAAATTCGATGAAGGGTAAAACTGTAATTTTCTTGTCGTCTTCAACCTAAGTATTCTCTTCTGCAACCCTAATTTTGTGGCCGTCTTTAGCAGTTATCTCATAATCTTGTTTTCCTTAAGTTTTGAATGCTTTCTACATATGAATCTAGTAAACGTTAGCATATTTTAAATTTGAAAAACTAAAGTGTTTGAATCTCAAGAAATTTCTTGTATTTTGTTCATCGCCGGAAATATGAAATTTGTTTCTACTTACTCGACTCAAAAACTCTCAATCGAAGATGAATGCGAGATTGTTCAGATTTTAAGAAAACTATTATCACAAAGATTTTTGAAGTTGAAAAATTTGATTTTCGATTTGTTTTTCTGCTTCTTCTTCTGTTTTTTTTCATATTTTTTTTACACATAATAAGATAAAAAAAATAGGAGAAGTCCAAACATAACTGAACGAGAACTGTTTATGGTTTGGGGGTATTTTGGTCAGAAAAAACCTAAATTGCTAAATGGTGAGAACCAATTCTCACTTTGCCAAACGGTGAGAGAGAAACTCAATTTCTTACTAAACGTGAAAATAACTTTAGAAAATTTAGTTAATGAAAATCAACAACACACGTGTTATGCTTCTCACGAAACTGTTACGTAAGACGGCACCTAACCTCTCTTTTTGTTCTCTTCTTTTTGCTATGGTAAAGATAGATAACACAAGAGTCAGCGTCAGAGACTAGGGTGTCGTAGAGCCATGGCTGGTGTCCAGACTCTCGAATTGGAGATCCAAGTGAACATGACTGCCGAGAGATTCTTCAAGACTTTCAAGAAGAAAGAAGGAAATTTCACGGACAAGACAGAAGCAGTTTCTGTTCATCGTGACGATCCCACATCCAACTCCTCTATTCAGATCTGGAATTTCATCATTGGTATGTTGTGTGTATACTATAACTAGTTGTCTTTGTTTTTTTAAGGATTCTTGAAAATAGGGTTTTTTCTCTTCGTCTTTTGTTTTTCTAGTTCTTGAATTCCATCGGTTACTTTGGACTTATTATAGATGGAAAGATGGAGCAGATCAAAGAGAAGATAGAGGTAGATGAAGAGAACAGGTCGGTGTCTTTCTTAGCTCTTGAAGGAGATGTGTTGAAGCAATATAAGAGCTATAAGATAACACTTGACGTTGTTCCTAAAGATGATCAAGTTTGTATTGCCAAGTGGACATGGGAATACGAGAAGCTAAACGACGACGTTCCTCCCCCTACCAGATACACTGCGTTCGTTGCAGATTATACACGCGACCTCGAGACTAGATTGTTGTCTGAATCATGATCATATCATTAATGTCTGTGAGTTTCTTGTTATATAAATCAGATCTTGTTCTTCAAAAAAATAAAATAAAATACACAGCCTGTTCACAGGTCTTCTTCTTCAATAGAAAAGTTTATCATTTTTAGTTATTATTTTGTCCTATAAAACTATATCCGGTGTCCATAGAAATGATGACATGGAACAAATCGCATTAACTAATATGAAATATTTTACTCACTGAATAGATCTATTACCGTTCAAATTACTTATTTCAATTGTTGTAATTTTACAAATGGCCTAGGCTCATAGGCATACTTAAATGTTTACACAATTTGAGAAAAAACGAGTTCAGGAAAGATATATTTTTCAAAAACATCATGACAAAATTTATTGGATAACTTTATTTTATAATTTATATAATATTATATGTATATTATTGATGAATCAATTATGAGGAATTTATATTTCTCAAGCTAAGTAAGCATAAATTGCACCGAATTCCCTAAAAGAGAAAATTGACATGAGAAAGGCAATTTCCCTTTGAATAATATACATTCCCTCTCCCCACCTCAATTTTAGGTTCTTATTATTCTTGTGGTCTCCATTTAGAACTATATGGCGCCATTGGGTTCTCTTGTTCATAAATGTTTTCATTTTCGCTAAATTTTTTTACATAGTTTCTATTAATGGATTTTACATTTAAAAGTTTCTAGGTAAAAAATTTGGTCACTTTCACTTATATCATTAGTGGATATATAATATATATATTTCTCAATTGTTTTCATTTTCGCTATAAAATCTACATACTTTCTATTATTGACTTTTACATGCAAAATTTTCTACGTAAGAAGTTGTTACTTTCACTTATATCAATAGTGGAGTTACTCATCCAATCCGTACAATGATTTGTTTAGAGTTATTAGATAATTACACCACATGATGCTCCCAAAATCAATTAATGGATGTTGTGTTATGATATGGGAATAGTACTATACGAGAAGTTATTTCATTTGCAGATTCTACCTGGGCGGCTTCAAGACAGCGTACATTGTCTCGAAATACGATATTGGTCTTATACTCTTAAGAACGGGTATACTCTTGTCGTTGGTATATATGGAAGTGGTCGATAATATATAGTAGCCTATAACAATCTTGAAACACACCTTTTTTTGTGGACACACCTCATTGAATCGATTCCCACAACTGACTACAAGAATATTATAGTTGCTATCAGCTAGTTGGTCTGATTCCTTCCCTTCCGCCGTAACCCGTAAGGGACCATATATATTCCAACATTCGGCAACTCTGTTGTTTTAGAATGACTCCTGCCACAGATTGCTTATTCTTTCCCCTATAAAAGTGGCTATGAATTCCAAAGAGACTCACTCACTCTCATTTAAACCTAGAGAAGCAAACAATATATATCTGTATAAGAAAAAATGGCACAAGCTACGCGTCAGTCTTCTCTGCAAGGGGAGCTTGAGGTAGATGTTGAGATCAAAGCATCGGCAAAGAAGTTCCATCACATGCTCTCTGGAAGACCACAAGATATTGCAAAAGCCACTCCTGACATCCAGGGATGTGCTGTGCATGAGGGAGAGTTTGGCAAAGTTGGCAGTGTCCTTTTCTGGAACTATGTTATTGGTAAACACAAACGTTTATTTAAATATATATTTCTGAAACAGCATAAAAGATTTGATTGGTTAACCTTTCGTTTTGGGTGCAGATGGGCAGCCAAAGGTGGCAAAGGAGAGGATCGAGGCAGTGGATCAGGAGAAGAATCTGATAGCGTTCAAGGTAGTAGATGGAGATATGTTGAAAGGGTTCAAGAGCTTCTTGATTACTGTCCAGGCAACCCCAAAGCTAAGAGGATCAGGAAGTGTGGTTAAGTGTCACTTCAAATATGAGAGGATTGACGAGGAGGTGGCTCATCCGGAGAAGCTGCTCGCCTTGTTTGTCAAGGCAGCCAAAGACATGGACGAAATGCTTTTGTCTTAAGTCTAAAGGATTCGTTGGATATCCATCAATCTATCTATCTATCTATGTTTGTGGGTGTTTTGTAAGATGTCTCAATAATGTGCTCTCTCTATGAAGAGATCTACTCTGCAAGTATTGTAGAGTTTGTGTTATGTACGTTTGAAGTTGTAATTAGTTGCAAACTGTAACCTTTGTGTTGCTATAAGTTTCGCCTATGCAAGTTATGTTTTAAGAAAAACAAAAGCGTCATACTTTTTGTAAGTGCAATAATTAAAGTTGTAAAGCCTAAGAAATTCTTGTGATGGTCATCAAATTGTAAAATTTCATTGGAAATCCGTTAGAAATTTGTCAGGATTGTCGTTGTTTTTTGTAGAGTATTTTCGGAAATTAAACACCATTACGCCATTTTTGAGTCATTATCATCTTAGTTAACCAATTTTGTATCACTTGTAAGTAAGTTTGTTTTTTGGTTGTTGAATACATTACAACAACAACAACAAAAAAAAAAATATTGAAATAAGGGTTACAGATTCATCACACAAATAAGGCTACGTACTATGAACAATTTTCCAGCAAGAAACCAAAAACCAAAAGACTAACCTTGAGGAAGACATTATGTGATCAAATCTTTGGATCAATCAAGAACAGTTTATCTGCCTAAAACAGCTGGAAGAAGTTGTATTTACTCAAGTTTAAATTTGATTTTTTATTGAATAAAATAAAATAAATCTAATACTAATAATTGAAGAGCAATTTAGAGTAAACAACTTCAAAGTTGATAGATTTTACATTATAAGTCACTGGAAAATAGACTATTTTAATAAATTTATCAATGATACAATAGCAATCATAGAATAGACATAATTATAATCTTATAAAAATCTGCCAAAAGTCTTTGAAGAACTTATATGGTTGACCCTGAAACTGTTAACGTTTAACATAATCGAAGTAGATGTGATGAAAGAGTTCAAGAAGCAATTTGTAACTATACATGCAAGGCAAGAAGTAAGGGTTTAAAACTCTGTTTCAGTTGTTTATATCAATGTCCAAAGAGTTTGAAGAACGCATATTTGTGTGTACATATGCAAGTTGTAACATTTTGAGTACATTGACATCGTCACTGCCTTATTACAATCAGAAAAAAAAAAAAACAATTCAAGAAACTTGCTATACATTTTCCTTCAAAGATCACTTGAACCAGTAACATCGATCCACTCGATTTGAACCTCAACCTCACCACTTTCTACATTTCTCAGCTTGAGAATCATGTCTTGGACAATCTTTCCATTACTGAAGATGATTCTACTCTCTTCAGCCAAGCAGTTGTCTCCACTCGGCTTCACTCTACGAATCTCGGTTCCATCAGAGAGTTCTTGAACATCCGTTCCTTGCGCCTCGAAAAACGGCTTGATATCTATTTCCGCATCTCCCATCGTGTCATGCGAAGTGAATGTATCCTTATCAAAAACTTCCTACAAGGAAACACAAAACAAAACAATCAGAAACAAAAACCAAAAGACTCCTTGAAGATCAAGAATCCAAAACAAAGAAACATATATATTTCAAGAAGATCAAGAACTGAACTCACGAGAACCACAGGTTGATTAGGATCATTGATTCCAAGCGTCAATTCATCGTCCCACTCAGGGTTGCAGCTATTTTCCACACCACGAGTCTTCAATTTCTGAGACAAATTGATTGAAATCATCACAAGTCTATTAAAACTCCATCATAAGTTCCATCAAAAACAGAGTAATTCTCAAATCTTCTAAAGTTCTATTTTTCCGAAATTGGAATCTACAAGGTATAATCTTGAAAACAGAGAACATAAGAGATACCTGAGAACCCATGGTAACGACGACGAAAGGGTCGCTGGTATTAGAATCACGACTAACCAGATTAATCCCTCTCTTCACTCGAATTCTAAGAAGTCCCACCAGATTCTCCATGTCTCCACCGATTCTTGTCTTTTGTCTTGTTCTTAGGTTCTTGAAAGAAAAACGAGTTGCAGAAGAATAATGAAGCAGATGATGTTTCTGGCCTCTTTTAAAGTCTCTGACTTTTGTCTACACAGAGCATCTTCTGGAGAATCTTTTTATGCTTTGCATTTAAATCGTAATCATTGACTTATGATTTTTTTTTTTTTTTACAATGGGCCAACCAATAAGTTTATGACAAATTAGATTAATTTCATATAGATTCAAAAGATCAGACTTATTATGAACACTAATATGCATGGACATTCCTTCTTAAATATAGTCACTATAAATATTTAAATATCAAGGATTGAAGAACCCTTTGTCCTTTTGAAGATAAATAAATGAATACTATACAAGAAATCATTTTAATAGACCACCCAAGAATTTTATGACATAAATACATCTAGATCTAGACAAAGTAAATTCATCATTTTCTATTGTTTATTAAATTTACTCTTATAATAATTATTAATTTGTATATATCTATCATATTAATTTTCACTATAGATATCATGAAATTTAACCTTTTTCTCTATTTAAGAAATGTAGATAAAGACACAAGAATTTTTTGAGTAAACCCGCCAATAAATTTATGACACAAATACATCTAAAATTAAGAAAAAGTAAATTCACCTCATATTGATTAACAAAATTTAATACAATTACTCAAATCTTAATATGTATGGATAATCCTTCATAAATCTATTCACTATATATATATCATGGATTAAGCATTTTTTTGTTCTATATACAAATACAAATTTCTTCACAAAATCAAAAACATAAATCATGAGGAACTATTTGCTATCCCATTTCTTTTTGCTGAATATCCAATTTCTTTTGACCAAAAAAAAATCATGAGCAACTTGAAAATAACAAATAGGTTATACTCATGTCATCATCATGTGATATAACTTATAAGCATCTTGAAGATGGACTGAAAAAGAAGTTGGATATTCAGCAAAAAGAAATTGTCAGCTTTTCCTCCAATAAAAATAAAGATTTTCTATATAAATTGCGAGCCTATATAGTCTACAAGTCATTCGAAATCGTACTTATACTATGGGTCTAAATAGTAACATGATTGTGGTAAATTGTTGAAGAATTGATGATAAATATCTTTTGTCTCAACTTGTAACCAAATGAAAGTTGAGGAATATATATCTTAGTCATATCATTTTGTTACATAATATCTTAGTCCTCCGAGATCTTTTACGGAAAAATTATCTGATAGGTACTAAATTTTTTGAAAAACATCGGCTATGTTTTACTTTAATATATTAAAATAATATATTAAAATAAAAAACATTTTTGTTACAAATATTGATGAAGAAAAGCTTTAGAAGATCTAATTTTTCAAATAGTGTAAATATATATATATATATATATATATATATATATATATATAAAAGAAGGTGCTCAATTAATTTGATAGATAATTGTATCATTTTTTAGTTTTAACTATTTTCTAATCTCATTTTATGTAATTGATTGCTTACTAATTTTTGTTTGAAAGTTATATATAGTAAATACATCTAAAGTTCTAAACAAAGTAAATTATGTGACATAAATACATCTATACATCTAGACAAAGTAAATTTGATGACACAAATACGTCTAAAGATCTACACAAAGTAAATTCAATATTCCATATAACAAAACGTTTTTTTTCTTCAAATTAATGTTTTACTTAAATCCAAATAATATTTTAATTTTTTTTTCAGTTTAAATTTGTAACTTGATTTTTTTTATAAATCTAATATTTAGGTTGCAAAAGAGTAAGAAACAATGTCATGAAGAGTATTTTACACAGAAAGAAAAGCTGGTTTTCATATTTTCAAATTTTCACTAGGTTATTTTGGCTATTTTAAAAATATAGTGGATTTCTGTAATAAATCACCCAACAATAAAAACTAATCTGTAGCCTACCAAAAAAAAATAAAAACTAATCAGCTGTATATATAGATCTATAGTTCAATAACACTAGATTTTATAATTTTTTGAAAAAAATCATGAATGAATAACACAAGATTTGTTATCTTAACAAAAATCATTCCAGATATATGATTGAAAAAGCAAATTCACTTCAGATTGATTAACAAAAAAATCACATTTACTTAAACAGTAATATGTATAGACAATTCTTCGTAAAATAGATTTAACTATATATTTCACTTTGGTTTTCTATATGCAAATACATATATTTTAGTAAAATCAAAAACAAAAATCGAGGATGGAAGCAAGACCTATGCTCGTGGCATTACTCGTATTATCATGTGTGTATGTGTTTATGAATATCATGAAAGTGGAAGCTCGAAAAGAAATTGGATATCCAGCAATAGGACGTGATGGTGCACATGGATGTAGTCCTAAATATCCTTCAATACCATGTCGACCAAAACAACCAGAGAATCCGTACAAGCGAGGATGTGAGAAAATTACAAGATGTAAACGCGATGGCGATGGCAATGATGAGCAAGCAGCTCTTCCAAATCCTCGAAAAGTACTAGATGTAGTCGCGGTGATGGCAAAGGCCAAGCAGCTCTTCTGAACAATATATGATTAAAGATTATAGATATGCTATAATCATATGAAACTAATACAATTCTACGATCATTAATGAATAAATCTATGATTTTGTATTTCTTTAATTCACTTTGGTCTCCTATATATCTACTGTTATGATCAAGAAATAAAATGCATAACCGAGAAAAATGGCTTTCTTCGCCATATAAATTGATGTTGTTTTACTTCCGTGTGGTATCGGAGTCAACATCCATTAACGAATGGACTCGCAACATTTAGATCACTGTGAATTTTGTCTAATTGTTATAGTTCGTGAGTTTGTGTTGTTTCTTTTCTTTTTGTAAAAAGAATTATTCTGTTGTAATCGGTATGAAAAGATAATGACTGTATAAAATTTTGCCTTGAATATATATATATATATATATAATGAAACATAGAATAAATAAATTTATTTTTCTTTTTAATTAATATATATGGATAAATAAAGAAAAATGTGTTTTATTTTTTCCAATAGATAAACCAATAATTTCATGGCATAAACTACTACATCTTTTTCCAAAAACATATAGACAAAGTAAATCCATTTTGTAAGACTACCCCAAAAAGAATACTGATTTTAAATATATACATATAAACACTAATATGTATGGATTTTTTTTTTGTCAACAGCTTTAAAATATGTATGGATTTTATTCACTATGAATACTAATGATTGCAATTTGGAACCCTTTTGTCCTTTTTAAACAAAGAATGACACATGGATTTTTTTACTAGACCATCCAATATATTTAAGACACAACTACAACTAAAGATTAGATATTTAAGACACGTAAATTCACTTCTAAAAAAAAAAAAAGAAGTACTTAATCACTAATATGTATAGATCCTTCATAAGATAGATCCACTATAAATAGAACGGATTGTTCAGTTCACCAAAACAAAAATTTTAATCATGAGCAACGTGAGAGGAACTAATAGGTTTATACTCGTGGCAATACTCGTCTCATTTGTGTTTTTAAGCATCATGAATGCTAAAGCTGGTAGAGAAATTGGATATCCAAAAAAATCATTTGGTGAAGACCGAACGAATCCGTACACACCAATAACACCAATAATACAAGGATGTGATCCTAAATATCCTCAAACGTGTCTACCAAAACAACCAGCGAATCCGTACCGGCGAGGATGTTCAAAAATTACAAGATGCCAGCGTGATGGCGGTCGATAAACATTTTTGAACTATATTTAACAATTAAAATTATTGTTATACAAAAAATCAATATATCATTAAACGAATAATTATATGGTTGTCAATTCTTTTGGTTTTTTTTTGTCAAAGTATATATGGTTGCATTTCCTTAATTTCTATTAAGAGTAATATTACTAAATGGCCAACTTTGAGAGAGAATGTGAGAAACTAACGTTTAACCAAGTTTTTTTGATAGAAGACTCTTTTTAATATGTTTAAATATGATATTGTCTTCTATTGAGTGAAAAAATAGAGAAATGTATGTGTAATAGATAGATTTGTGGAGGACGATTTGGCTTAATTAAGGATAAAATTGTCATAAATTGTATGTAATAGTTTTTTTCTCTTATATTTTTCATCCATGGTTAGTTACTTAATTTTTTTTTTTTTAATGTTAGTTAGTTGATATTCTCTTATATTTATCATATATGTATACTACTGTAGTACCATTAAATTTTTTATTTTGTTTTGGAGCACCGTAAAAATCAAGAGATGTATATCTGAGAAAATTGATCTTCGTCGTCAAAATACAACTGTGATCTACTTTTTTCAAGTTCAAAGTCAATCTTTGATGATAAATGCAAATATAAAAGTCATTATAATTTTCTTTAGTCTAGATATAATTTTGCATCAACAAAAAGAATCTCTGAAATGTTGATTTACATTTTATTGATGGATGAATTTCCCCCTTTTCGTCAAAATTTTAATAAATTATCTATTAACAAATTATGGTTGTTATATTATCAGTTTTACTGATTATTTTTCTAGTATGAATATATGACCAATAAAAAAAACATTAATTCATTCACATAATATCCGAATCTTTTGAGTTTGATTTAAAAATTGTAATATTCCTGCCATCGAAAATTTTGAATTATCACACTTTTTTCGTGTATGCAACAACAGAACATACTTATCTTCTTAATGTTGTTTTGAGTTTTTCTGCATCTCCTCCTAAAATACGGTAACAAAAGCAAAACGCGTTTAACAAAAAAAAACACAAAAACAAAAATTTCCCAAAACAACCTTTATGCCCTAATCTTGATTAAATAGCTCTACACGCCTCTGGATCATCTCTTCTCATCAAATTCACAAATTCGATTTTCCTCTTCTCTTCCTCCTCCTCCTCCTCCTCTCGGAATCTTCCGTAAAGTTTCCACCTTTCACCACCGGAAAACATTCCGATAAATCCTCGTCGGAAAATTTAATCTCTCTGTAATCTTTAATCTCCGGTGACGTTTGTGAATGGTGGAAACTAATCCGATAGGTGATAATCTTAAGCTCACCCTTTCAACAAAAAGGGCGAGCTTTTACATCATCCCTCTCTCTTCAGACTCTGTTTTCGCTTTCGGTTCTTGCAAAGAAGGCTGGTACTTCCGTTGCATTGGCCTCGACCCGTGAATCAATCATCATCATCATCATCATCTCCGATCTAATTTTCAGTTTTAAATTTCTGGGTTTTTGAAAAAGATGTTGCTTTACAAGAAGAAGAATAATCAGATTGTTAAAGGAAACAGAATCTTGATCAGCGTTACGTTTCTTGGTAGTGCTGGTCCGATCCGGTTCGTTGCTAATGAAAATGATCTTGTTGCAGATGTGATTGATACTGCTTTGAAATGTTATGCTCGTGAAGGTCGTCTTCCGATTCTTGGTTCTGATTTCAACGATTTTGTTTTTTATTGTCCTATGGTTGGACCTGGAGGTGAGTTCTAAAATTACCAAAGTTTTGATTTTTATACACTTCTCCTCTGTTTTGTGATTATATAAAGATTGGTTTTGTTGTAGCTTTGCTTCCATGGGAAGCAATTGGGTCGGTGGGAGTGAGGAACTTTATGTTGTGTAAGAAACCGGAGGAGAAGAAGGTTGAGGAAGGCAATGGAAGATCGAATTTTCCGAAGAATGGAGCTAGGAAAGGAGCTGGTGGAAGTTTTAAGGCTTGGATTAATAAATCTTTTAGTCTTAAAGTGACTACTCATTAGAGACATATATGTGTGTCTTCTTGTTTCTTTGAATGCTCATGAATTTGGTTTGTGTCTTTGTTCTTTGATTTATCTTATTTTTGAACTTTTGATTTGTTTTTGTTTCTTATGATGGTTTCAGGAAATAAAAGTTTCAAGTTCTTTGGCTTTAGATTTTGGTATTTGCTCTCCAATGGAGTTTTCTTTTTGTTTACAAAAATAGTTAAACTTTCGATTACCAGAAATGTGAAAATTGCATTGCTTAAATTAATTAGTTAAATACTTTGATTACCAAAAATGTGAGAATTTCATGGTATTCTTTTAGTATATTCGACTTTACAAGTGGTTCAGAGACGACAGAAAAAGAAAAAAATCAGAAATTTTAACAAGAATATCACTACTTTGCTTTAGGCGCAATTTGTGGAATTATTGTTGGGGAGATTTGATCATTTTCTTCTTCAGGAGTAACTTTATTGGTTATTGAAATAGCAGATAATTAGGGATTCGAATTTCGAATTCTTTCATTGTTTTTCTATATTATCTGCAGACATGTAGTTAATGTATATCCCTTGGAGTAACAAATCAACTACTTTCACGTTATGAATAAAATCTATATTACAAAAACATGACATATCCCTTAATTTTTAAAATATCATCCTGTTGATCTTCCTCTAATACAAAATTTACAACTAGTAATATTTTAGAGTATAAATCACACATTTGGTTTATATAGAAGTGAAAAATGTACAAATATTGAACTCGGATGTGAGTGTGACCTTACATAGTTACATGTGAATACATTATCCAAATAGATTTGGTTGGTTTATGGCGTGTGATCTCGATCCTTCTTCTTAACTCTTGAAAACCTCATGAGGCATCTACTTCAAAATTCAAATGACCTAATTTGGGTTGTCAACAAGTTTATTTGCCTCAACTAAAAGTCACTCCAAAAAACAAAAGACCAACATATAAGACAAGTTGTTGTAGGGTTGTAGCAAAACTAATGACGAGTTCATAAACGAACATTGACTATTTCATTTTTGGATGTTGGTATCCTAATAAATTAATAAAAACGAATATAAAAAGATCATGAATATCGAAGTTAACGAGTAGATTTCAAGAAGAAATCCAATGTGATGAAAAGGTACTATTCAATGTGATTATCTACTAGTTTCTATCCAACTAAGCTTAGCAAACCATGAATAGCTCAAATACAATGCTTGCGACTAATATAAATTGATATACTCAAATTAGGGTTTGCAAAAGACGGAAATTATTAATGAAACATCAAGGACATTTAGTTCATAATTATCTACGGATATGCATGTGATTGGTATGTTAAAGACAATATTAGTATGTTTATGTAAAGTTTAAGCTTCCATTCATTTTTCTCATATGCATGTGATTCGGAGGATCCGAGGAAGTTGAGTCCATAAATTACATATAAAATTTATTGGTTTTAGAGATCAGAGATTATCAAGAATATATTAGTATATCCCCAAGTTCTTAAGGTACAAACATGAAGAATCTTTTAGTAGCTTAAGATCTTTCCAAAAATCGTTTCACATGTTTCCCAATATTTATCACTTTTAATCAATTTCAGGTACTGCGTGATTTATTAATCATTTTTTTTTTTTTTTTTTTGCTAAATTGTAAATATCATATAAATGAAATGTGAGGTATTACAGAGCATTACCTAAAAGTAGAGTAATCTTGGCAAAAAAATTAAAACAAGATTACAATTCTTTTGAAAGAAGATAGGAAACCCAACTTAACGGATCCAAAGAAGCATAAGCTTCCTCCATCTCTTTCTATGTCTTCTACCCAAAAGATGATGCCTACTTCCTAAAATGTTGATTGTAGTTCGGGAACTTCAGGGGGAGCCCAAAAGATGATGCCATGGAATGAAAAATATTTAGACAACTTGACCTTCTTGTATGATCTTCGGATGCATGTTATAAGCAAGTAAGTCCATTAATATAGCTTTAAACGAAAACTCATGAATGATAGATATAAATTACTGATAAATCGTATAAATAAATTATTGATTCTTGTTCTTTAAATTCTAGTAATGTGAAAGATGTGGAGAAAGGAAAGGCCATGATGCTTTACTTCACTAAACTCGAATCCATCACTCCCTCTGGCTTGCCAGCACGGGTCGCAAGCAGTAGCTATCTAAAGAGCAACTATTTCAAGAACCGTCCATCGAACTGGTATTACACTTACACCAGTCCTGATGAAGTCATATTATGTCCTGACAACAAACAAAATCTCTACTGCCATTTGCTTTGTGGTCTGGTTCAAAGAAACGAGGTCACAAGAATGGGTTCCATCTTCGCCTCAGTCATGGTCCGAGCAATAAAGTTTCTTGAAGATTCATGGGAGGAGTTGTGTTCAAACATCCGATCGGGGCAGCTCAGCGAGTGGATCACGGATATTGGTTGTCGAGATTCAGTGTCTCTAGTTCTTGGTGGGCCTCAACCTGAAGTGGCAAATACCATTGAAAAAATATGCAACCAAAAGTGTTGGAAAGGTATAATCACAAGACTTTGGCCAAAAGCTAAATATATTGAAACTATTGTTACTGGTTCGATGGTGCAGTATGTTCCTACATTGAACTATTACTCTAATGATATGTTACCTCTCATTTCAACAATCTACGCTTCTTCGGAGACTCAATTCGGCCGGGTTAAATCTCAACCCTATGTGCAAGCCTGAAGATGTATCATACACGTTCATGCCAAACGTGTCGTACTTCGAGTTCATACCAATGGATGGAGACAAGACCAATGTTGTTGACCTTGCTGATGTCAAACTCGGATGTTCTTATGAAGCTGTGGTTACAAATTTCTCAGGTGAGAAAAATGATAAAACATTATGAATATTAAAAACCATGAAATTAATTAATCCTTTTCTTTGATGTTGTGAATGTGAATGTTTTTTCGTGCTTTTTCTTGCTTCAGGCTTGTATAGAATAAGAGTTGGAGATATTCTAGTGGTAACTGGTTTCCACAACAAAGCACCTCAGTTTAGGTTTATAAGAAGAGACAACGTGGTTTTAAGCATTGACTTGGACAAAACCAACGAGGATGATCTGTTTAAGGCGGTGAATCGCGCAAAACTCACTCTTGACTCATCAGATCTCATGCTAATAGACTTCACTAGCTATACTGATATCTCCACTGTCCCGGGTCACTACGTAGTTTATTGGGAAGTAGAAGACAAAAACGAAGACAAGAAGAGCAAGAAGCACTTAGAGCTCAAACAAGAGACATTCTCGGAGTGTTGTTTACTAATGGAGGATACACTTGACGAGGTTTACAAGAATTGTCGGTTTAAGGAGGAATCTGTAGGACCATTGGAGATCAAAGTGGTGCATCATGGGACATTTGATTCTCTCATGGACTTCTTCATCTCACAAGGTGCTTCTATTGGTCAATACAAGACTCCAAGGTGCATTAAATCTGGAAAAGCCTTGGAGGTATTAGAGAAAAATGTGGTAGCCACATTCTTCAGTACCGGATAGATAAAAATGTTTTTTTAGTTATGAATAAATATGCGTTAGTGCGTTAGACCATCTCCAATGTAGAGCTCTATATCTTACTCTAAAATAGAGTTACTCTATTTTAGAGGAGGGTTTCTCTCCAATGTATATCTCTATTTTCTACTCTAAAAAGGAATATTCTTAGAAATATTCTATTTCTATTTTATATACTAATACCTTTTAATTATATAATTTACAATTTGACCTCATATATTATAGATTTGCAAAATTCCCATAAAATATAAAATTATTTAAATTAAACACTAATTATTTATTAAAAAAAACATTACATCATATAACAATAATAAAACATTACAAATTTTATTTTAAATAACACCATTAGAATATTTTTCCCACATATGATCAATTAAAGCATATAAATTTAAATTTAGTACTTGTTTGCTTGTTAAGTTTATAAAATTATTTTAAATTTAGTTCTTGTTTGCATGTTAAGTTTATAAAGTTATGTGTTGTAATTGTTGTTTATAAAATGATTATATGTATTAAATAAAAAAAGTTTAAATTTGAAGGACTAAAGTATAAATAAAAAAAGTTGAACTCAAAAATAGAGTTGAGAATAGAGTTGCTCTATATATAGAGTCAATCTGCAGAAATCTCTATTTTAGAGTCAATTATAGAGTAGGGTTGAAGAAATTTTTTGCATTTTTACTCTAAAATAGAGTAGGGTTGGAGATGCCCTTAGTGCGTAATGCGTATGCTAGCTGCGTATTAGTTTCCATAATTGTTGGATTTTCTTTTTCTCTGTGGACAAATCAATGTCATAGTGTTTTTGATAGAATTTTGTATGAATATTTATGAGCTTGAAGCCTCAATCAAATTGGGCCATACACTTTTTAGCCTAATTTGAACAAAATTAATCGTATAAGCGATAAAAGATCTCACAGGACAGGATCATTATTTTCTTTGTGATTGGAGTATGGCAAATATGAGAGACAAAATTTCCAATTCTAGACATGCAAACAAGTAAATATGATAGCAATTCGCATGTTATAATCACGTCGTGTTCACGTACTAATTAAATTTAATTAATTTGTCACAAAACGTAAGTAGTGATGAAGATAGACAATTAACCACATGCATGGTTTTGTAATTTTGTTATTTAGCCCTTTAATATCGTTGACTTTATGAGAGAGTATGCACGAAGTCACGAACTTCTCCACCGATCACCACCACCGATCACCACCACCGCCACCGGCGCTACTTTCCATTTTTCTTTTTCGTTTTTTTTTTTTAAATTGAAATTTGTTTATCAAGGATTTTCTAATAAATGTTCCATAATTTAAAATATTTTTCTAGTCATTATATAAATTACACATATATGAAAAGGATTTGGACTAAGTCTGGATATTCTTATTTATCTAGATTCGAATCCAGAAAATTCGTATACAACCAACACTTACCAAAATCCAGTTATTATTGTTGGCAAGTATATATTATCGACTAGAAGCATCATATAATTTCGTTATTCCGATTATGTAAAATACTACTATTGTTTCTTAATTTGCTCAAAGAAAAGTAAATGCTAATAAAATATCATACTATCGACAACGAAAATAAAATAAAAATTAATAAATTGTCATATTATCGACGACAAAAAGAAATAAATAAATAAATGCCTAATTTTTAAATAAGATATTTTAACGTCTAACCTATTTATACCTCTTCGTCCAGTCATCAACGTCGTCTCTTTGTCGTCGGTCGTTATTTTTATTTCTCGCCGGAAAACCGAAAAAACAGAAAAAAGTTTGAATTTTTTAATTTCGAAAAAGCTATGGATCCAATCGAATCCGTGGAGTACAACAATGGCTTTGAAACCACCAATGGTGACTCTCACAACAACGACCATGGTTGGAAGAAAGTAGTGTACCCAAAACGTAACCGGAAGCAAAAACCTGCGGATCAAGCGACGGCGGTGGCGAATGGTGTCACCGGAAATCTAATTGCCAATGGAACTTTATCCAATGGAGGAGACAACATCTTCCGTTCTCTTGAGGAGCAAGCTGAAGATCGTCATCGACGGATCCTCGCCGCGAAGAAAGCCTCCGATGCGGCGGATATGTCGGACGGGGGAAGATCTAAACGGCGATCTAACGGATACGGCGATGAGGGTTACGATTTTGATGACAGCGACAGTGAAATCGCAGTGGGGAAAGAGAATTTGAAGGCGGAGGAAGTTAAGAAACCGAAGGTTAAGAAGGTGAAGAAGCCTAAGGTTACTTTAGCTGAAGCTGCTGCTAACATTGATGTATCTAATCTCGCAGCTTTCCTCGTTGAAGCTTCGGTATGTGCATGGATGTGAATTTGAGCTTTGATCTGTTTAGTTTTAGTCGAAAGTTGTGATCTTATTGGTAAGTAAAAATTGAAACTTTGATAGGAATCATATGCGAGTCAACCAGAGATTCAGCTAATGAGATATGCTGATTACTTTGGGAGATCACTCTCTCAAGTATCATCAGCTCATTTTCCTTGGGTGAAAACGTTCAAGGAGTCTCCTTTATCTAAGCTGATCGATGTGAGCAATATCTCTCTGTTCATTTTTTTTCAATCTTGAGTATTTTGGGCTTTGTGATTCTGAATTTGAGTCAAAGGGTTAGCTTTCGTAATGATGTAGCTACGGGAATGTGATTGTTTGACTTCTATTTGAACAGATTCCACTTTGTCACATTCCTGAAGCTGTTTATAAGACATCAGCTGATTGGATTAACCAACGTCCCATTGAGGCACTTGGAGCCTTTGTATTGTGGGCCTTGGATTGTATTCTTGCTGACTTGGCTGTACAACAAGGAGGCGCCAAGGGTGGTAAGAAGGGAGCACAAAATGCTTCTTCGAAATCTCAGGTATTATGGTAGCTGAACGTTATAGTCTTGTTGGTCTGAATTACACCAATTAGATTGACTAGGTTTTGTGAATGCATATGTCGAATTTACTTTCTGATGTTTGGTCATACTAGTCACTTTCTTTTATCAGTCTATTATTGTCGATCTGGTTGAACTTGTTATCAGTTACCATTGTGTTACTAACTTCATCATTTTTCAATTCTTTTGATGAATAGGTTGCGATATTTGTGGCGGTAGCAATGGTTTTGCGTAAGAAACCTGATGCTTTAACTAATATATTGCCAACTTTGAGGGAGAATCCCAAGTATCAGGGACAAGATAAGCTTCCAGTTACAGTTTGGATGATGGCTCAGGTTTGTGAAGTTCTATTCTTAATATAACGAAGAACCAAAATTACCATAACGTTTATTATTTTTATGATTGAGATTCTGAAATTTGCCTTCTCGTAACTGCTAACTATGTACAGGCCTCCCAAGGTGATATATCAGTAGGCTTGTACTCATGGGCGCACAACTTGTTACCAGTAGTCAGTAGCAAGAGTTGCAACCCTCAGTCAAGGGATCTCATCCTTCAGTTGGTTGAGAGGTGAGTTAAGTTTTTTCGTATGATGTCCTTTTTGATGTGTGATGATTATCTAATCTTGGTTATTTTGTTTTTATTGCAGGATCTTGTCCAACCCGAAGGCCCGAACCATTCTTGTAAATGGGGCTGTTAGGAAGGGAGAGCGATTGATTCCACCTCCTTCGTTTGAGATCTTGGTTCGACTTACATTCCCTGCATCATCCGCAAGAGTGAAGGTAAAGTAACGTTGAGATATGAGTACAATATTTAAGTGAATGAGGATTGGTTTTGACCTCTAGAATGGTTTGACGCGCAGGCTACAGAGAGGTTTGAGGCAATATATCCCTTACTGAAGGAGGTGTCTCTTGCTGGTGCTCCTGGGAGTAAGGCAATGAAGCAAGTCACACAGCAGATATTCACTTTTGCTCTGAAAGCAGCCGGGGAAGGTATGACAAACCTTTATCTAAATTTTCTACCTACACGTCCTCTAGAAGACGGTGCAATTAAATTTTGTAATATGTCTTGGTACAGAAAATCCCTTATTAGCGAAGGAAGCGACTGCAATCACTATCTGGGCTCTCACCCAAAACGTTGATTGCTGCAAGCACTGGGTAGGATTCACTCTTTCTTTTCTTTTTTTTTCCCACATATAAGGTTATTCATGACTGGATTTTTACTTATCGGCGTTTTTGGTTTGTGGTTCAACAGGAGAATCTTTATACCGACAATTTGAAAGCCAGTGTTGCTGTTCTTAAAAAGCTCATGGACGAGTGGAAGGAGCTTTCTGTCAAACTGACCCCTGGTGATACCCTCACTCTCAACCAAACAATGAAGAGCTTGAGGCAAAAGGTTCCAAAACTAATATTCCATCTTTTATATTTCTCGGCCAATGATTCACTACTCATCAACTGTTAAAAACCGATTCTGATCCAAAGATGTTTTACTAAACTACAGAACGAGGAAGCTCTTGCCGAGGGAGGAGCCAATGGTGCAAGCCAGTCTCTTTACAAAGATGCAGACAAATGCTGCAAGGCGGTCGCTGGGAAACTCTCCAGTGGTGGCTGCATCAAAAGTATAGCTACCACTGCTGCACTTCTGGCTGCTACTGGTTTTGCTGCTGCTGCTGCTGTGTCTGCCAACCCCGAGGCTATAGCCTACCTAAAGAACATGGTGGAGTCATTAGACCTCAACAAATTCGCCGAGACAGTAATGACAGCGCTGAAGAACTGAAGTGAATACATATGAGGGGGACGATAAGCAAGAGAAGTAAGTCTCTTTATCGTCGGTGTAGAGAAGTCGTTGAAAAGCCGCCTTTTTTATGCTCTCTGATTACAAACCTGACCGGCATTAGGGAGAGGTTAGGAGGCTAATGAGTGAGAAAAGGAGGTTTCTCTCTTGTAATCATGTACTTTTGAGGAGTTTTTTTTCAAAGCTCAAAAGTTGTTGTAGTTGAGAGTTGAGACTGTTTCTAATTTAAGATGTTCTTTGTTTTTTTTCTTTTCTGGAACAATAAAGTTATATTTCCATTTGCTCTTATGTTAAGCTCGTACCCCATTTGTTCAATCCAAGTCTACACGCCAAAACTCTTCCGAGATTGTATCTTCTGAAGAAATTTCAGAAGTTGAGAGCAGTGCCCACAAAGTCTACCTGCAAAAAGCTTATCAATGACATTCACATTCCCTAACAAGTTAGTGTGAAGCTTCTCATTAACCACAAAATTCTTCGGTTTTTTTTAAAAGAGAGTTTTTTTTTTGGCCAGAAAAAAAACAAACTTTAGCCAAAAACATCGAGTACCTTCGTCTCAGTTTATCAGAGAAAGGTTAGAACTTTGAAGAATCAGATAGCTTCACAGAAGGAACGTTCGAATTGATTCGCTTCTTAATGTCACTCTCTACAGTAGCTTCTGGTATCGGCGTTCTCGAGCTCCCTTGTTTGCGTCTGTTACCAATCTCAAGCATTCAAATCCAGTTTCTCACTGTCGAAGCTAGAAAACAACCTCGAAGAAGAAGAAGACGCGAGCTCTCCTTCAGCCACTTTCCGGTACTTATTCAATCGAACCGTCGTCTTCGTCATGGTTTCTCTCAGCTCAATTCGAGTTTTGATGGTTCCAACAGTGGAGAAACTGGTTCCGATACCACTGTAAGTCCCTCTGATGAGCTCGGATTTCTCAGAGTGTGTAGTATCGGAAAAATAACAACGATTATAGGTTAAAGATTAATGCTTTGTGTCTTGTGGTTGGTATACTGAACGATGATGATATTTGTTTATTGGTGTATAAGCTTAGTTTGAAGATGGTGAAGAAGCGAGGAGAGAAAGCTCTTCAGGTGTTGGAGATAGCTATGTGGCCTTGTTTGTGGGAATGCTCGGTTTGGACAACGATCCTCTTGATAGAGAGCAGGCAATAGAGGCGCTATGGAAGTACTCTTTGGGTGGGAAGAAATGCGTTGATGCAATTATGCAGTTTCATGGTTGTTTGAGTCTCATTGTCAATCTTCTCAAGTCTGACTCCAGCTCCGCCTGTGAAGCTGCTGCTGGGCTAATACGGTCTATAGCTGCTGTGAATCTATACAGAGAATCCGTTGCTGAGAGTGGAGCGTTGGAAGAGATAACCGCTCTATTGAGCCGGCCTTCGTTAGCTACAGTGGTATGAAGAATTATGATTCCAAAGTAGTATGCTTTTTGATTGTTGGATTAGAATTTTGAGGTATGATTATTCGATGTTTTGTTTTTTTCAGGTGAAAGAACAATGCATATGTGCTCTGTGGAATCTGACTGTGGATGAAGAAATTAGGGAAAAGGTTGCTGACTTTGATATCCTTAGGCTACTCATTAGTTTCCTTGAAGATGATGATGTAAACGTAAAGGAAGCAGCTGGTGGCGTATTGGCCAATCTAGCCCTTAGCCGCTCGAACCACAAGATTCTGGTTGAAGTAGGAGTCATACCCAAACTGGTAAGACCTTGCTTTTCATCTTATAGAATTTAACAATATATCCATATATTACGGCTTATCTGTGGCACGTTAGAGTGAAATGATTTCTAATAGTCAAGGGTAGGAATTGAAATTACCGAAAGGATGCGAAATTGGCTGAGAATCACTTAGGTGAATGGTATTTTATATGGAAAAACTGTCGATTTGTTGGTTGTGCTTCAGCTTACTTATTACCTTCCCAATTGGAATCCAGGCAAAACTGTTGAAAGGCGATAATACAGAAAACAAAGGGTCTAAAATTATTAGAAAAGAAGCAAGAAATGTGCTTTTGGAGCTCGCCAAAGACGAATACTACAGAATTCTTGTCATTGAGGAGGGTGTTGTACCCATTCCCATAATTGGTGCAGACGCTTACAAGTCCTTCAGACCGGATCTGTATTCTTGGCCTAGTTTACCAGATGGTATAAAGATCGAGCAGACAGCAAAAGCTCCTTCAAGATTTGGTGCCTCTGAGCTGCTCCTTGGTTTAAATGTTGACAAGAATGTTAACGACGTAGATGAAGCCAAAATGAAAGCAATAGTTGGGAGGACAAATCAGCAGTTCCTTGCCCGTATTGGAGCAATTGAATTTGAGAAGGAAATTAAATCCGAAGGGCCAGGGAAATCTCAGCAGCTTACTCTTCTTCCTTGTGTAGATGGTGTGGCTCGATTAGTCTTGATTCTTGGATTGGCAGACGAATTGGCAGTAACAAGAGCTGCAGAGTCAATTGCTGATGCATCTATCAACGAGGATATGCGGGTTTCTTTCATGGAAGCCGGAGCTGTAAAGCCTTTGGTTCAGCTTTTAGCCAACAACAACAAAGAGGCTGTTAAATTACCCGTCATCCGAGCCTTGAAAAATTTATCACTTAGGTGCTTATCTTTAAATATTCTTTTCATTTTTACTAAGCAGTTTCTCCTCAGAGGTTGAGATTATTTATATTTGATTAAATGCAGCCGCACTGTTTGCCAGAGGATTGAAGCTGAAGGTGCAGTATGGTTTCTTATTAATCTTCTGAAGCAGCCAGAGATCTCACTAAGCGTCACAGAACACGTATGACTTTGTTTTCTTCTTCCTTTGTTCTTTGATGGCTATATTGGAATAACTGGACGTGAAATGGTTTTTTTGTGAACAATGTTATGCAGATTCTGGATATACTTGCTCATATCTTAGATCCTTGCAAGGAAATGGAATCCAAGGTGTGTTTATTTTCCAAGTTTTATTATTTTACATTAAATCTGTTTTCATTTGGCTAAATTTCTCTACATGCTACAGTTTTATGAAGGACCGGTGAACGGATCAAAAGCAGACTCCAGGTCAGTCTTCTTCTCAATTTTCCTATTTTCAGCTCTTTTTTTTGTTGGTTTAGAAGTATCAATTACTCATTTATCGGATGGGAATGAACAGAAAGGAAGTACTGGATGCTGCTGTTTTTTCTCGGCTTGCCCAGATTGCGAAAACAGCCTCTCCGAACTTGCTAAGAAATGCAATCTCTGTCATCGAGTTTGGTATAGTCAGTAATCCAAACATGGACACGATCATCTCTGGGGATATCACAACTGTTCTTGATCTTGCTCTCCGGCAGAAAGTCCTGGAAGGTACAAAACTTATCATTTGATATAACTGTTTGAAATTCATACAAATGGGTTTCTCTTATGATTTTATGACAACATACGATACTTTTTATGGAAATGCAGAACCTGAGAACGAAGCTGAGGAGTTAGAGAAACATCTTCTTGAGCTAGAAGAAGCTGGTTTGACGATTTCCGCTGCTTCAAGGCTACTGACAAAACTTGTCGACTCTGAGTCCTTTCGCCAAACAATAGATGTCGCAGTCTTCACAGAATTACTAAGGAAGATCCTAAAATCTAGCCTCCCTCTACACTACAAAGACTGGGTTGCCGCTTGTCTTGTAAAACTCACCGCTCTCTCCTCTCCCTCTCAATCCCTCAACAATCCAATCAATATCGAGGTATGTTAATCTATTTGTTCGGATCACCATTACAAACTTTAGATTATTGAATCATCTTTTGTTACTTTTGTATCAAAAGGTAACTCTGTACAAAACGATCCCGAGCCTTGTAGAACAAATGAGCTTTTCCTCATCACCAGAAGCGAAAGAAGCAGCGGTTTTAGAACTGAACAAGATAGTATCCGAGGGAGTTCCAGAATCTACCCAAACTCTTGCTTCACACGGAGGTATCGAACCGCTGGTTAAGCTTCTTGAAGAAAGAAACGAGCGGTGCGTTGAAGCGAGTTTGTCAGTACTGTATAACCTAAGCATGGACAGTGAGAACCACACAGCCATCATAAGAGCCGGAGCTGTACCAGTATTGAGACGTATCGTTATGTCTCAAAGACCTCAATGGGAAAAAGCTCTTCGGTTACTCAGAAATTTACCCGTTTAAGACAAAGTTACAACTTCTTGAATCACTCACATTTCAGATTATTGTCATGTAAATTTTGGAATCAATTAGAATAATATTATGTTTACGAATATTCGAAAAGTTAATTACATTAAATTAATCGGATTACGTAGCACGTATATTAGCATATTCTGGAGATCCACATCCACATGATCAATCAAATATTTACTCTTTGAAATTGTTACGCAAGCACAAATAATTTAAAATCTGAAAATTTAATCCAACGGCTGAGATTTTCTTCACTGTATCAGTAAAAACGAGAGAAACGTTCTAGTTCACTCACTTGGCTACACGTGTCTCGGTGTCGTTTAGCTTTTAAGCAAGCTTCCTTTAGCGTAATTTAAAGAGCTGCTTTTATCATCACCACCACATCACTCTCTCTGCGTTCAATTTTGATCTTTGTTCTCTTCAAGACGAATATGGTTTTCAAGGTTTCTACCGTTTCAACATCTCCTATTGATGGCCAGAAACCAGGAACTTCTGGACTCCGTAAAAAGGTTCGTTGATCGATCTCTGTCTTCTGAATCGAGTTGATTCGAGCGATATCGAGTTGTTGCAATCTGGATCAGATCTGTTTAAATTTTCTTGAGTGGATTTTAAGTGAGATTAACCATCTGATTTAGATTTGATCTATGCATTGATCTATATTGATTATGCCGATTAGTGAATGATGACAAATTTGTGTAAATCTCATCTTTGAATCGGGTTTTCGTTTCATTTGGATCAAGTTCGAGATCACGTTTATTATCTTTGATTTGAGTATATATTTGCGACGATGCTATGCGGTGAATGTTGATTTGATACAATTATATACACATAGAGCTTTTGACATTAGTGTTTTGAATTGATGTGGAGAAATGGAGACTATATGGATTGGATTTGTGTATAATCGTTGTTTGGTCTACTCTCTGCAGATATCAAACTAGCATCTTTTTGGTATTTCGGATTAGTAATTTGGTTTGTCTAACTGTGTAGGTGAAAGTGTTCAAGCAACCCAATTATCTAGAGAATTTTGTCCAAGCAACCTTCAATGCTCTTACTGCAGAGAAAGTTAAAGGTGAGATTTTTTCTTACTCATTTTGGTTGGTATATAAGTGGATGCTTGTTAACATTACAGTTCCTTAGGCAGATAGCTGCTCGTTCGAAAATTCATGAGTATTTTTGTTCATCTGTGCAGGTGCCACACTCGTGGTCTCTGGTGATGGTCGTTATTACTCAAAGGATGCTGTTCAGGTAAGACTAATGAGATTCTTTGTCTTCTGAATCTGGTTCAACTTTAATTTGTGTATCCAATACTTAGCATATAATTATGAATAAGTGCCTCAATGTATTTACAATATTTTGGAGGGAACTCATGTGTTATGTCGTTACATTGGCAATATGGTAACAAGCTTATGTAGGGAGGCTCATCAATGCCTCACATATTTATCTTTGTGTCCATCTCTAAAACTTGCATTAAAATAGCTATAGAGAGATTAGAGGTTCTTAGAAGTTAAGGTTTTGTTTGACCTGCTACTGTTACAAATTTGGTTCCTGCTGTTTCAGATGACCATGTTTTACAGCTTTTCATACAATTTTATTTTCTATCTTAACAGATCATAATTAAGATGGCAGCAGCTAATGGTGTACGACGTGTGTGGGTTGGTAAAAACACTCTGTTATCAACTCCTGCTGTATCAGCTGTGATTCGTGAAAGATCAGGGGCTGATGTGAGATATCTTTCTCTATGCTCATCTTTGTAGTGACCTTTAGTATTTTATTTTTGTTGGTTATTCACTATGTTCGCGCATGGCGCAAGATGTAATGATGGTTACGAGAGACTTAATCCCAGTCTCCGGTTACAGGGATCGAAAGCAACTGGAGCCTTTATCTTAACAGCAAGTCACAATCCTGGTGGCCCTACTGAGGTCTGTTCCGTCTCTATTGTGCTCTGTCCCCTTTCAGTTGAACTGCTCGTTTTGTATCTCTTTATTTGTTCATTTTTAATAATCAGATTTCTAGATGGATAATAAGACTAAGAGTTGATTCCATACCCCTTGTACAGGATTTTGGAATCAAATACAATATGGAAAACGGAGGACCTGCTCCTGAATCAATCACTGATAAAATCTACGAGAACACTAAGACAATCAAGGAGTACCCAATAGCAGACGATCTACCCAATGTATCTAATCATTCTGAAGAATCCTCTTATATGACAACATATTGTCCATTATCTGTCTTTTGTTGATTCAAAGTTATCTGGTCTCTGTGATTGAATGCGACAGGTTGATATTTCTACCATCGGTGTAACTAGCTTTGAAGGACCTGATGGCAAATTTGATGTTGAAGTTTTCGACTCTGCAGATGACTACGTTAAATTGATGAAGTGAGTGCTCCCTGAATTTAAAAGCATGATTCCAGAATCTACTATTGTCTATGTACAATCTCTATGATCTTTTCTTAAAATATCTTCTCGCTCTTTCAGGTCAATCTTCGATTTTGAATCCATCCGAAAATTGCTTTCATCTCCAAAGTTTACATTCTGGTATTTAGCTTACATTGGTTCCCAAACCTTTTCCATTTGATTTAAGTTTGTAATACATGTTCCATCATTTTAATGTTATATTTTACTTTGTTTTGTGAAGCTATGATGCATTGCATGGAGTTGCTGGAGCCTATGCACATCGCATTTTTGTCGAAGAACTCGGTGCGCAAGAAAGCGCATTATTGAACTGCACACCCAAGGTCTTATTTTGTCTAACCAAGAAATGCTATTCCTTAAATGATTACAAATACACCTCCAGGCTCAATATTTACCACAATACAACGCTTTGCAGGAGGACTTTGGAGGAGGGCATCCGGATCCCAATTTGACCTATGCTAAGGAGCTTGTGGCACGAATGGGACTAAGTAAATCCGACACTGGAGGTGAACCTCCAGAGTTTGGCGCCGCTGCTGATGGTGATGCAGACCGTAACATGATCCTTGGTAAAAGGTAGCTTACTCATGTTTTTAAGTGAGATTCATCCATGGAACGAGTATACCAAGTACTTTTAAACTTAAAGTATCTCTTCTTTCGTAGGTTTTTTGTAACTCCTTCAGATTCAGTTGCCATAATTGCTGCAAATGCTATTGGGGCCATTCCGTACTTCAGCTCTGGTTTGAAAGGTGTTGCTAGGTATTATACACTGGGGCTCTTTCTTAACTTCTAGCAGATTTCTGTGTATACAACTCTTTTAATATATCGTTTTGTGGCTTATTTTTTAACTTCCACTTCTTGTTTTAGGAGTATGCCCACCTCAGCTGCTCTCGATGTCGTTGCAAAAAGCTTGAATTTGAAGTTCTTTGAGGTACATGTCACCTTGAAACTTCTATCCAGCTTCTTTTCTCCTAACTACATAAATTAATTCACATCTCTAATAAATTCACATATCAGGTTCCAACAGGCTGGAAGTTTTTTGGTAATCTGATGGATGCTGGGATGTGTTCTGTTTGTGGGGAAGAAAGTTTTGGAACCGGTCAGTTTCTATTTCCACACTTATACATCTGTTAATAACTTAAAAACAACCTATAGAGCTCTGAAAGAAAGATCTTTCACAGGCTCGGATCATATCCGCGAGAAAGACGGGATTTGGGCAGTTCTTGCGTGGATGTCCATACTTGCTCACAAGAACAAGGGAAATATTGACGGTAATGCTAAACTGGTGTCGGTTGAAGACATTGTCCGCCAGCATTGGGCTACCTACGGCCGTCACTATTACACTCGTTACGACTATGAGGTAAAGTTGCTAAGTTTGGTGATTGTATTATACCATATTATGCGGAAGAAACAGTACCCTTACTAACATCTCAAATTTTGTCTCCAAAGAATGTAGACGCAGGTAAAGCTAAGGAACTGATGGAGCATTTGGTCAAATTGCAATCTTCAATTCCTGAAGTTAACAAGTACACACACTTCCACTTCTCTGAAATCCCTTCCTTTTATACTTGGATACGTACTCATCAGTTTGGTACTCTGTTTTCCTAACCTCTTCTTCTCTATTGATTTTATTCAGGATTGTGAAAGGAATTCGTTCCGATGTGGCGAACGTCGCCAGTGCCGATGAATTCGAGTACAAAGATCCAGTTGATGGATCCATTTCGAAGCACCAGGGAATCCGTTACTTGTTTGAAGACGGATCACGACTTGTAAGTCATCTTTTTCTTCGGTATTTGAGCTTGTATACATTCCAGTTAAGAACAAAGTGATAGAAATCAAAACTAACTAATCCTCTCTTGTTCTATCTGAAACCATATGAAGGTTTTCCGTCTCTCTGGAACTGGCTCAGAAGGAGCAACCATCAGGCTCTACATTGAACAGTACGAGAAGGATGCTTCAAAAACCGGCCGAGAATCCCAGGAAGCTTTGTCTCCTCTGGTAAGATTGCTTAATATAAAACATCAAATCCATAATTGTTTTCCAACTCAGTCCTATTTAACTAAACCAAAACGGGGGTTGCTCTCATCAAATGCGTAATTGTTGTTGATGTGTGATTTACAGGTTGACTTAGCTCTAAAGCTGTCTAAGATGGAGGAGTTCACCGGCCGATCAGCCCCAACCGTCATAACATGAGAATGGTCAAGCTCAACGACTCGAATCATACACTTTTTTTTCCTGCATCTATATGATGCTTTCTTCTTATACTATCCAAGTTCCATTGTAAGAATAATTAGTCTCAGGGAGAATTTGTATCTCTTATCGGAATTCTGAACAACCAAGAACGATTTCTTGAGTTGTCGTGAGGCTTATACATACTTGTACGGATTTGGCTTTCTCGGTTTTGTTTTCTCTTGTTTCCATCTTTTGCATGATTAAGATTTGTTCTTGCGGTTTTATATACGATTTTGCAAGTTTGGTCTCTTAACATCTAACTTCATTGATACCTCAACATTTAAGCATGCTACGAACAAGTTTGGTGTTCCCCGTCTCGTTTTTCATTGTGCTGTGATATTGTTGCATGTTGCTTGTTGCATGATACCATAATATATGGACAAAAACCATTTTCTTACTTTCATTTTTTAAAAGGTAGGGAGAGACGTCGATCTTTAAATCGAAAGAGAATAAATGAATGATTCAATATATATCAGTGTTGCTTTCGTAATGAATATAGAAAATTGGAACAAGGAAACCCGAAGATTTGGTTAGAGTCGTACACAACCCTAATTCTCCCACCGGACCTTCCATATTTAGAACGAAGCTTCATTCAACTTTCGACTCCACTTAAACCACACTATCCTTTATTTCGTGTAAGTATCTCTTTCCTTTTTATGCTCCATTGCTTTCTCTTTTATTTTTTAGTATCAAATATTTGTATAATTGATCAGCTACCAGTATATTTCAAATCCAAATTCAGACATCTTGAGTTCTGTCAAGTATCAATACCGTGTGAATAATTGAGTGGTCGTATATATGAACGTGAGAAAAAAGAATTGGATTATATAATCGAGTAATATTATTTTTTTCTCGAAAAAGCTATGCATATGAAAAAGCTAGCTAGTGAGAGAGTTAGCATGTTTTGTTGATATGTCCAAAAACACCAAACTCATCTTAACGAACTACCACTACGGCACTACCACTGCCCGCACTACTACGGTCTATCACACTCATAACACACAATAAGCAAAACAAAGCCTATATATTGACTCAAAACTGATTCTAATGAATCATAGATGAAGTAATTTAGTCAATTTAAAACCTCGAATCGATGGAAGACAAACTCCTACTTCCAATAGTACGTACCCACCCGATCTATCATCTAAAGATTTCAACTAGTGGTCTTAGCTTGTACTCTTAGTTATCACTTTAGCGGATATAGATGCATAGTGTTGGTAAATATATTTCTTAAAACCGCAAAGTTTCATAGTCGATATGAATCCAAGATAAGTCTTTCGTAACATCTATGAAAATGTAGCTCATTCACTTCCATTTCCAACACTCACATTCATATTTACAATTGAATTGATTTTTTTTTTGAATATATAAATCACCCAATCTTTCACAAGTTACGTAAATTTTCTTATGGTACAAAATAATGATGGACGACCAAACAATTAGCACCAAAATATAGTAACACGTTGATGGCAAGAAAAAAAGATGTAAATTTCGTAATCGATGTCGACAAAAATATTAATGAGAGATCAGTTCTACCGCCATCTATCACCATTAGTGTGGCATTTGTTTCCCTTTTGTAGTGAATTTTCATAATTAGATATGAATATGACATGATCAGAATTATAGTTGTTTTTTAAGTAAAATTTAGAATTATCGATTATTACCATGCAAATGAAATAGAAAATTTAACGTGAAAATGCTTAAATACTGTGTAAATGCATATTTTCTACTGTACCATACGGAAATATCTCTAGCATACAGTTACCACAATATATGTTCGATTTTTTTTTACCTATTGTCAACAATGGAATTTAAAAGTTAGTCGTAAGATTTACATACTTTATTTTTTGGTTAATTAACTCATGATTAATTGTTATGATCTAGCTACGTGACAGAAATTGTAGAAAATGTCGCTTTTGTAAACCTAAACCATTAATTAAACGATAAAGTAAGAAAACTTGTTTAGTGAGAAAACATATTAATTCCCACAAAAGACGGACTTAATTAAACTTTTCATCAAAAACTTTAATTTGGTCAAGCTCACACGAAACTCATGTGATTATGTGAAAGCCTTTTGACCTTTGATTTTGATATTTACTTAAAACTCTTTCTGGGAAACTCCCTAACGCTTGGTTGGTAGATTTCACATCATGCAAAATTTATATTTTTAATGGTGATCGATATGTAGTTTTGTGGTTGGAGCGGCAGATATAGCTGTGTAACAACTTTATTTAATCATTATTCACAAAATTTTGTATTGTTACCAGTATACGTATAGGAGTTCTTTTAGAAAAAGAGAAAAAGAATTGAAATTCATCAATACAATATTGGAACAAACACATAAAAATTAACAAAAAATTGAAAGATTTTTATATGCTAAATTTTTTACATGAATTATATTTTCCTAAAATAGAAAATTTTGCTAATTTTAATACTATTTCAAATCACTTTTCTTTACGTGGTTTGTTCGTTTGCTTATGATATGTTATCTTTGTTCCATCTTATCAAACTCCTACCACCATTTGGAATCTCAGACTTTGTGACATGTGGCACTACGAGAAACGTACATGTCGTCTCTCAAACTTCTTACGTACACATGTGGCAGGCCATTAGCCAAATCACATTTTAGTATCTATACTAATTTGATTCTTGAGTTCCTTTCGTAAGTAGTTGTTTAATTTCACATAAAGCTCTTATGTTATGTTCAATTTTTATGCCATAAGTTCGAACCTATAGCCATTGCTAACTTGGATCGGATACTATAACATATTTTCTTCTTAATTTTAATTTACATATGTTTACATCAAACATAAATCAGACACTCTGACGTGGCCGCATACGTGTAAACATTCATTTATGAGACTGAAAGAGAGTATCCATACATTTGTTACGTAGATGCATTTATATATAACTCACCTTCCCTAAGGAAACAATACCCACATCTCTACTCATCTACATTAGTCAAAAATCTCTATTGGTACTTCTCCAATTCCCAAATGGATCACAAACTACTACTAACATTTCCCAAATGTGTATACACCAAATGTATCATAACCATCATTTACGTCGTATCAATCTCTCATCTTAATGCCCATTTCATAACTTCATGCAAACAAACTCCATACCCTAGCGTCTGCGACCACCACATGTCGAATTCACCTCTCAAAACTTTAGACGACCAAACGGATGGGTTCACTTTCCACAACCTTGTGGTCAGCTCCACCATGGACCAGGCCGTGCAACTACACCGCCTCGTCTCTACCGTGAAACAGCGTCATTCTCTCCACAAACACGCAACGTCAGCTTTGTTTGACTGCTTGGAGCTCTACGAAGACACTATAGACCAACTCAACCACTCTAGGAGATCGTACGGTCAATATTCTTCGCCGCATGATAGACAAACCGCGTTAAGCGCGGCCATAGCTAATCAAGACACTTGCAGAAACGGATTTAAAGATTTTAAGTTAACCTCTTCGTATTCAAAGTATTTCCCAGTACAAGTTCACCGGAATCTCACTAAGTCTTTAAGCAACTCTTTGGCAGTTACTAAGGCTGCGGCTGAGGCGGTTTCCGAGAAATATCCATCGACGGGGTTCACTAAATTCAGTAAACAAAGAAGTAGCGGTGGCCACCGGAGATTATTGATGTTTTCCGACGAGAAATTTCCATCGTGGTTCCCTCTTTCCGACCGTAAACTACTGGAAGATTCAGAAACTACGGTGAAAGCCGATCTTGTGGTGGCTAAAGACGGTTCGGGTCATTATACAAGCATTCAACAAGCGGTAAACGCAGCAGCCAAATTTCCTCGAAGAAACTCTAGACTTGTGATATACGTTAAAGCCGGCGTTTATAGAGAAAACGTGGTGATCAAGAAATCGATCAAGAACGTGATGGTTATCGGAGACGGCATTGATTCTACCATCGTCACTGGTAATAAGAACGTTAAAGATGGCACGACGACGTTTCGGTCCGCAACTTTTGGTACGTCGCCCGTGCTATATAGATAGAAATTTATCAAAAATACTTTCTAAAAGTGATATTTATTAGAACTATATCAATTTTCGCACATACATATACATAAACACATTAATTAAACTAAATACTTATAGCCATAATTTATCCGATTGGACTAAGATTTTAGTTTCTACAAATTTTTAACTATAAGTTTGCTAAATTTAACTAATATGATGTGGATGCTAGTTCCTATATACTTTTTGCTAAAAACTCTTATTTTCATTTTTTTTAATTCCAATAATATTTACGTTTTAGGGTAAAGAAAAATAATTTACTCTCTTTATGACGTGTAACCACTAATGATTTGTTCACAAAATCACATGATTTACTCTTGAACTAATATAACTTTTGGACTAATATTTAACAAAATAAAATTTTGTTTAATCCGCAACAGCTGTTTCCGGCAGCGGTTTTATCGCACGAGGCATAACATTCGAGAACACGGCGGGACCGGAGAAACATCAAGCGGTGGCTCTCCGATCAGGTTCAGACTTCTCCGTCTTCTACGACTGCTCTTTCAAAGGCTATCAAGACACTCTCTACCTTCATTCTCGCCGTCAGTTCTTGAGAAACTGCAACATCTACGGCACCGTTGATTTCATCTTCGGAGACGCAACCGCCATCCTCCAAAACTGCAACATCTACGCTCGTAAGCCGATGAGCGGCCAGAAAAACACGATCACCGCCCAATCGCGCAAAGACCCGAACGAGAACACTGGCTTCGTCGTCCAGAGCTCGACGGTGGCTACGGCGTCGGAGACTTATTTAGGACGGCCGTGGAAATCGTATTCGAGGACGGTTTTCATGAAATGTAATCTTGGAGCGTTGGTTAATCCGGCGGGATGGTTGCCTTGGAACGGCGAGTTTGCTCTGAGTACTCTTTATTACGGTGAGTATGGTAATACCGGCGCCGGAGCAAGTGTCTCCGGTAGAGTTAAGTGGCCGGGTTATCATGTTTTAAAGACGGTGACGGAGGCGGGGAAATTCACGGTGGAGAATTTCTTGGACGGGAACTATTGGATTACGGCGGCGGGAGTACCAGTCAACGATGGACTTTGACTTTTGACTTTGATTTGAATCTTTAATTTTGATTAGTGTGGTCTTTGTTAATTTTATGTTCTTGTTTGTTGGCGTGTAATGGTTATATATAGTTTTGTTTCACAAATCCCATGTAATGGATGGATTGTCTTGAATATATAATACAATAAGAAACTTCAATGTAATATGGGTTAAAAATTTTACTTTTTTTATAACTACTAAGTAATTATGCCAAATTAAATTTTAATTGGATTTTACTTACAACTCGTATGCAAATGTCTTTTTTTTTTTTTTTTTTTGAGATTTTTTGACTGCAATGTCTTTTTTTTTTGTGTGGTGAAGGTATGCAAATGTTTTTATTATAACTATACATACATATTTTTTCCTTAAAATGTTTCTATTGTGAATCATAATGTTCTGGACCTTCTGGTAGTTGTACTGTTTATATTATTATATGTGTATAAGCATGCGATCTTATAATAAATTAATAAATATTTCAAAAAAAATTAATAGATATATTTGTTTCTTTGTCAACCAAATAGATATGCATGTACAAAAAAAACTATATCATATATATGAGAAAGAAAAAAAAATCTGAAGGACTAAACGTGGAGAAAAAGACTAAGGAGATACTCTATGAATTAATTATTTTAATAAGTAACTGAGAGGTCTATTACATGTGTTCATGAAAGAAGTGGTTGCGAAGAATTATCATCAGGTGATTTCAGACATTTTTTTCTTCTTTTTCTTGGTGTTTTACACTAACCTCGTTTGCTTGATACAGTTCCATGAATGCAGAGTCAAACCATGAGCTTGGTGCAGGGCGGTCCAAAGTTTTCAAATTTTCTTTGATGTTCTACGCATCACTAAAAATTTAGGCGTTTTTGTTAATATAAAAAAAAATTCTCCAAAAAACTATGGCTTGGTGCATAAGCAAAATCAAATGAAAGCTGTTTTATTTAATATCTTTTTCTTACTAATATCTCTCTGTCTTATGTGTAGTTGGTGCTTGTTGGCAAAGCAACCACCGACGATACTTTCAATGCAAGAGCAAAAGCTACCGTGACTGAACAAGTTATCCTGAAGGCTAATGCAACTTTGTCGACGGCTCTTGTGAGCCTCAAGTACATGGGCCTAAGCTCCCGAACACAGCTGCAGCTCGGGACCAATGGCTTAGGAGGAGCCACATACATACATGTTCTGTTTCTTCACGCCTTTAACAGTCCTTATCAACAGGTTGCCACTGCGCAAGGCTTTGACACAGGTAACATTCTTATGACATATGTGCATAAGGTTTCTAAAAAGGTAATGCTCCTTTCTCGTTTATCTTTAAACTCAGAATAGAGATCATAATCATGACAAATACATTTTTTGCTCATAATCAGGTTTTTCTAGCCACGGAGTTTGTCTTCAAGTACTACTTTGTGATTACAATTTCGAACAAATAACATTGCCATTTTTTTTAATTTTAATGGAATTGAAACAGTCTTTCGAAATCTGTGTAATTCTAATATTATAGCGCCTTCTGTTTCAGTATCGTGTCCGAGAAAATGTCGATTATGACGGTGTGGCTTGTGGTCTTGTGGAGAGTGGAATGAGGACTGGAAAGATTATACTTTCGGCCAAAATGGTGGACTTGAAGAAACGAGATACTGTTTTCGGTTTAGGCGACCTTTGGTTAGGTAAAAAAAGTTGATTAGCCTTTGGCCAAACTCTCACCGAATGTGGATACTTGTGATTCACAGGTTGACATAGCTATGAAGATATCCAAGATGGAGGAGTTCACTACCCGATCAGCTCCAACCTTGATAACGTAAGAAGAATGGTCAAGTTCAACGACTCAAATCATAAACTTTTGTCTGCACCTATGTGATACTTTCTTCTTATACTATCCAAGTTACGTTATTCAATTTATTAGCCTTTGGGAGAAGTTGTATTTATTATTGGAATGAGTTGTCGTGAGGATTTTTACTTCTACCGATTTGGCTTTCTCAGTTTTGTTTCCGTCTTTTGCATGATTAGGATCCATGAATTTGCAAGTTTGGTCTCCTAACATCTAACTTACCGTTTAAGGTTTTGTTTGCCTATGTTTAATACAACCATTGAGTAAATCTCAAAGTTTTGTTTACACGCTAACTCTCCCACTTGCTAAGCCTTTTCCGAGAGAAAAATCATTGTACACAATCCCTTTTGCTAACTCTTCTCATGCTAATATATTCGACTACTGAAATTGTATTGATAGTTGATTGATCTCAAGACGCCTAAATTTTGATCGGAAATATCCGATAGTTCAACTATACAAATATATATATATATATATACGTTACAATCATATCTTATGTTATAGAATCTATTATGACTTTGTGTCATACAATATTAGCATAAGTAATAACATTCATCATTACTTTTTTTCAACCACGTTAAAGCTTTTTACTACGTTCAAATATTTCACAGGTAAAAACATATTCTTACATGATACAGTCATAAATTCCGAATAGAACAACAACAACTTTTGTTACATGTATCGTTTTACACAAGCAGATCAGATCTCACACAATAATTTTATCTATAGATGCAACAAAATTTGTATTAAGTTAACATGCTTAATTGTTATCTCTCCGCACTTTTGGTAACTCTCTCACTTGCTAAGCCTTTTTCGAGAGAAAATTCATTGTACACAATCCTTTTTTTTTTTTTTTGATAACTCGGGTGTCCGGCCCCACCGAGGTGGAACCGACTAGCGTGGGACCCACATGCGTCATCTGCCCTAGAATTCCCTCATGTAAATCCGCCAGTGGCCGTGCCTCGAACCCTGGTGGCGGAAGTCACAGCCGTGACCCCTTTACCACTAGGCCACAAGGCCCGGTTACACAATCCTTTTTGCTAACTCTTCTCATGCTAAAATTGTATCGATAGTTGATACAACTCAATGATCCGAGCTCACACAATAATTTTATCTATAGATACAACTAAATTTTTGTATTAAGTTAACTAGTTAAGGATAAGGTAGTCATTAACTATTTTAATGGTTCCTTAATGTCTCCAACTTCGTTAGGTCTTCAGTATTTATCTTCTTCTTCTTCTTCTTTTATTTAAAATACAAATAGAGATTATCTTATTCTTCTTCTTTTTTGAGGTAAATCTTTTTTATCTCTCATGTTTACTTTGCCAAATATTAAATGTTTAGTATTTAATTTTCGCTCCCATATTAAATGGTCGCTTATGTTATCTTTGCCAAATGCCATCTCGTGCTTTTTTCTCTTTCCGTATTAACTTTTTGAAATCGATTTTGTTTTCATGGTGGCTGAATGTTTAGCATTGACATCATCAAACTTAAAAAAATTTCACGACTTTTTTCTGGTCGCTTGGTGAGTCCGAATTAATTTTCTGTTTAGTTAACGTAGTAAAATTTGATTTATAAAGTAGTCTCCAACTTCGTTAGATTTGAAGCGAAACAAAAGGGATTATCTTCTACTCTTAAATATTTATTTATCTTCTTCTTTTATTTTTTAAATATAAAGAGAGATAAATCTTCTATTTTTTTGGTAAATCTTCCTTATCTCTCCGCACTTCCTTATCTAGATTTTTTTCAGAGGCAGATTCAAATCCTTTATATATATGCCTTGTGAATAAAGAATAAAGGACCTAAGAAGAAGCTTTCTGACTAAAACCCCAAACGTTGAATAATATCATGGGAATCATGTCATCCACGGATCTGAAACCGGAATCTAAATCTGAAAATAACCAAGTCTCGTCGAAGTCGAAGGCAGTGAAAGGTCGATTACATGTGTTCATGAAAGAAGGTGGTTGCGAAGAATCATATACAGCTTGTGTAGGTTGTGATGCGCAGAAAGATGAGTGTAGGGAAGCCTTTTCAATGCTTGAAAAGTGTATGAAAGCTCGCTCTGATTACTTTGAGCCATATCTCGCGTTGGAGAACGCTAGGGCTGAAGTGATGCTAAGAGAAATCGATGCCTTCCTCCATGCGAAACCAAAGGACAGAGACGAGATGTTTACCAAGTTCATGATAAGAGGTGATTGCAAAGAAGCTTTTATGGCTTGGAATGACTTCTGCAAAGAAGCTAAGAAGAATAATAAAAGTTGTCTTCATACACCGACCATGGACACCTTGTTCAAGTGTATGAAGGCTCATTCTGATTACTATCACCCGCTTCTCACGGTATTCAAAACTGCTGAAGAACATTTTAAAAAAGAGATCAAAGCCTTGAATACGAGGGAGGGAGCTGAAGCTGATGCTAAGGGATGATAAAAAAAGATTTAATTAATTACTTAATTTTTGTATGCTTTCTTTTTTGTTTGCGTTTCCTTCTTAATATGATTCTAAAGGCCATTACTTTGTTGAATGTTTCAGCCATCCACTTCTCCATAACTAGCTTGTAGTATATTTAAGTTTGAAACATGATATGGTTCGGGACTTTGGGTACATACTCTTTACGAAGGATTTGAATAATGAAAACAAGGTCTATAGAATATATGTATAGAGCTGGCTTACACTTGGGCTCTGAAAGCCCTTAAATGATCCGATGATGTCGCCAATCCAGACATCATATAAGTCTGAGCCCGTTCACGAATCATTTTATCCAACAAAATTCACGACATTGGAAACATATAACAATTTGGAAATAATTAAGAAAAACAAAAAAAAAAAGTGAACAAATCTCTTTCAAAAAGTACTCATTAGAAAGATTTGTTTATAATGACTAATGAGTAGTGCTTTTTTTACAGAGATTTGTCTATAATGATTTGTAATGTTTTTAACGAAACAGTGTAACACCCAAAAATTTAAACCATTATTTTGACGTTAAACATCATGAATTAATATGGATAAGACATTATGGCTGGTGAATGAATTATAAATTTGTAAGAGTTCGCCAACTTAGTAAGGAAAAAACATGTTGAGAACATGAACAGGTGTCAAACTATAAGCAATAAGTTACAGGTAGATACAACAGAGATGGACCCTTTGGGATTGTGACTAGAAAACAAAAATGACTCTTGTTTCATTGCGTCTCGTGAATCCTCCTCTCTTCCCCAAAATTTCTGATACCTATTTGCTTTTTGAGGTTCTCTTTTTTTTTTTTCCCTCCTTGTTAAATAGTACGACGACACTTTGACTTTTTAAAACCCTTCAAAACTTATCATATTTCGTAAATCTTGAGAAATCTAAGAAAAGTTATGCATAAAAGGGCACAAACGTTTGTATTAGCATTTCTTTTTATGTCTTGTGTGTGTTATGACAAACAAATGGGGTTTGTGGTCAATTTTACAGGGGTCACGGATCTTATTTCTCCACCATATACTTCCAAACCATTTATAAATGTTCATTTAATTTTTCTTCACGCATCCTAACAATCCTTGCAAATTTAAAATTTAGTATGCTTTTAATCAACTATTATAACTATGTAATTAGTAATAATATGTTCGGTGGATAGTGTCAAAGGCAACAAATGACAAATTTATTATATATACTCCATCCAATCCTTAAAGATGTATCAAATGTACTATACATCAAACAAAATTGTATAGCACATTCAAGTCGAAAAAAGTGTTTGATTTTTAGATCTTATGTTGCCAAAGTTTCAAGTGGTCTTAAACATCGAATATTTCTAAACACCAATTTATTTTCAAATTTAATTAGTTTTTAGTAGTTCTGAATACATAATTCATAAAATATTTGATATTATAACCCAATTAACTTTTAAAAAAATCTGTTTTCTTTTTTTTTAATAATTGTGTTGGACGCATAATCTACACGATTGCTTGAACAATTAAACGACCGAATTTTTAAGTGTTCTTATTAGTAAATAGACTCGTAAATCTTAGAATTCTCACATATAAACTATGAATTAGTAAGACTGTAAGACTAAAACTTAAATTAATATAAATTGATATATAAGAACATAAATGAAATTAATTCCCTTGTTATAACTGGTTTTGACTTTGAATCTCTGATCATCATGTTAACGAAGATTTTCTCATAACTAATCATAAACATCTACGGTTGGTGTGTCATATATAAATAAATCACATGTATACGAATCTACGTTTGGTGGACCAAACACTATAGTTTATAGTTTATCAACCCGGACTTGGAAAACAGTACGTAGTGCCACACACACACACACACACACGAATATACACATACCGACATACGCTCATATAACATCTATATTCGAAAATGGATACAAAAAGATAAATGTATGCGCTTAATTATACATGTTGCAACATATTGAATTAGCTATATAGCATGTCGGGCATTAACATATAACGTCAGTGTTATAGTGGTGGATTTCCAGCGCATGCATACATTTTTTTTTTTTTTTTTTTTGATAACTTGTGAATATATATTACCTAAAGAGGAAAAGAGATGTTTACAATGCCAAAAAGCAGACAGTTCCAAGGGCCCAAAAAAAAATTAAAAAGCCAAGCTTGAAACACATTTAACAAAGACAGAGAGGTTAACAATGAGAAAACCACTGCGATAAAAGTCTTCCACAACCTTTCCTGTAACGACGAGCAAGGAGAGTGTCTTTTATATTCCTGTCAATCTGGGAGAAAATCACAGCGATTGTAGAGGAAATGGCATTGTGTAAGCGGTTGTTCCTTTCGCGCCAGAGAAAGTAGATAGTAGCTTGGGCAGAAATGCGTTTCAGAGTAGTTGACACCGAAGGAGATTTCGTCAGAAGCCATGAGATGACAGTAGACCAATCAACAAAGGAACAAGGCGGCAGACCAAGTCTATGGAGAACCAGAAACCAAACTTGTTCCGAGATAGTGCAATGGAGGAGTAAATGGTCTCTTGACTCGTCATGCATATTGCAAAGGCAGCATAGAGGACTAGTGTTTAGTCCCCAACTAGCAAGTCTTGACCTGACTGGAAGTCTATCCAGTGTTGCAATCCAGAAGGTGAAAGCCTGCTTAGGAACAGAGTTTTTAAACCACACTGCTGGATACCAATATTTCCTGTCTTGAGCGGGCCGAAAGAAGTTCCAGGTGTACTTAGTAGAGAAATGTGATTTCTTCTGGTTTGCTAAACCCCAAGAGTAACAATCAGGACCCCTAGAGGGGCTGGGAGGAGTAGTCGCAAGTAACTGATTCCGGAGATCAATAACATTTACGTTCCTTGATCTTGCAGAGGGAAGAATCCAGCCGAAATCCCCACAAACATCTGCAACAGTAGATTGAAGAGGAATACCCAGGCGACACGGACCAGTATTACCAAAAATATCCCATAGAACTCCAAGAGGAGACCAATTATCAAACCAGAAACTTGCCTTTTGACCATCACCAAGATTGCAGCTCATTAGAGCTTTTGCCATTGGCCTCAAACCCAAAAGGAATTTACAAATCCAACTTACATTTGCATGTTCAACCACAGTCCAATACCTTAGCCACTACATACCTTTATTTATGTAGCACCATTAGCCGCTATTAGATATCAATAATGTGCTTTCATCACTTTAAAAGTCAGAATATAGATTTGATCATATTACTTATTTGTAAGATGCATGTATATATATTAAAACTAATTACTGAAAGAGAAAAATGCTTATATAAAGTGTGTCATTTAGGTTATAAATGGCAATTTGCGTTTTAAACCAATCCATTGTAGTTTTAAGACGTTTCTAATTTTTATTTTTCTTGCATTATTTAAAATCCTTTGCCCAGACTCTTCTGATTTTTTTTTTCTGTACTTTTATCACCACTTGAATTAACTACACTACGACAATAAACTTATATTGTCTACCACTAAATTTAAAATTCGAATAAAGTCAACTTATTTCTTGTTTATTTCGATCAGAAAGCTAAAAGCAGCTCATACAATTTTGTACCTTCATAATGATGTTCTAATTTGTTTGAAACCTTCTAAAACGATTTTTTGTAAAAGGACAAATAAATATAAGAAATAATAGACTACTAATTCTTTTTACACACACTTGATTCTTTTCGTAATTTTGACAAACAAAAAGCGTTAACAACGACATAATATCACTATTTCATTACAGCCAATAACAAACAGGCTTATCTTATTATATCTCTATGACTCTATCATGCACGCGTGAGAACCAAAACAATAATTTCTTTTTCAAGTAAAAGAAAAAAAGAAGAAGAATATTTGGTGATTAATTGATAGAATGCTCAATGGATCGCCTTATCAACACATCGATTAACTAGAGCCAACGCATTACTAGTCATCTTTTTGACGTCATCGACCCGTGCGCACACGTCATCTTTCCTCGGCTCATCGTGAATGTCTTTAAACCCGTCCGTACAAGTCTCCTCATCGGTTAAAGCCGCACTGAGCCACGTCTGCACGTTACTCATCTGGAACCTAAAGGACTCGAGCGAGCCAGTCGAGACCAGCTCCCTCATCTGTTTCATGGAGCCTCTCATCTCTTCGACTGCGTCTTTAAGATTGTCGAAGCAGTCATGGAAAACGGCTGCTGCGGTTGGGTGGTGGGCACCATCTTCGTTGCTCTCCGGCTGGAGAGTGGTGACGTTGGCGAGGTATGAGGCTAAGTCGAGAGTCTTGGTGAGAGTGACGGAGATGGCGGCTCGAGCCAAGAGGGCTGGATCGTTGTGGACAGAGCTAGAGAAGGAGGAAAGAGAGGAGAAGCATAGGTCAGGGTATAATGTGGTGTTGCAGCTCGTGCGGATGAAATCTGAGTCGTCTGATTGAGAATGGACGGTCAGGAATAATGGGAGGACGGTGGCTAAGAAGAAGAAGAGAAGTGGTTGATGGAGAGAAGGTTTCATGGTTTCTTCTGTTCTATGTGTGTTGTTTCTTGTGACACGGAAGTGACTCTTTTTGGGTTATGGATGGTTTTGGACTTTTGGTATTTGTGACCTCAAGTTTATATTTATACTATCGAGAAAGCATATAGATTAGGATTAATCCAAACATCCAACAATTTTGATGGGTTGGGGGAAAATGTTGAACTGTAAACCATTCGTCTAATGGGCCGATCTGGGCCTGAATACATGAAAATGTTGAACTGTAAACCATTTCTTTTAGGCCATGTATCAGACGTTGGTATGTTAGCTTTATCTATATATTTGTCTACCCCAAATTCAAAAAATTTTGATATAGTCAGCTTATTTTATTGTATTTTTCAATCAAAGAGCTAAAAGTAGCTCATACAATTTTGTACTTTAAGAATGACTAATTTGTTTTAAAAAAAAACCTTCTAAAATGATTTATGATTGTTTCCCCACACTTTATTTTTTTGTGTCATTTTGACAAATGAAAAGCGCTAACATTACTAG